ACTTTTCGTCACAGCGTGATGAAAATATTCTTTCGTCAATTTTTAGAATCGTGAAATCCCCTGGTAAATAATTTTGTGATCACACTGAAAGAAAGAAGTCTTTCAACAGGATGAGATTCTCTTGTCCCAAGAAAATTTTAAGCGTTAGCATAAGTTTTCCCATGAATTCATATAGTTTGCGTTATATCTAAAATTTAATGGATTGTGAGAATTCACACTTCAGCGGAGGAATTCTTGTTTCGATTGCACGACGAATACTTTCATTATCAATTCAAGTGTGTAGAAAATTGATCTAAAGTGTTGTATTCTATGTGCAAGATTGTATGTAACCAAAGTTCTGATGAAAGAAAAATTGGGGATATAAGGCAAACTACATGGAAAACTCTTTTCTCTCAGCCTGAGAACGAAATTATATATCAGGAGATTTCACGATTTTTTAAATTGACAAGAGAATATTTTTTTGTATCAAGTGCACCTTATTTGTGGAAAGCAGTTTTTTCTCTCAGTTTAGTTTTTGAGATATTGAAGGAAATGGATTTACATACAGAGCTGAACATTTCCTTAACTAATCGTCCGATTAGCTTATTTTCAATACGAACCGTTGCAATGATCAGAGGAAACTTTATGCCAAATTTTAAATTAATTTGTTGATTTTTTCAAAAGTTGGAGTGCGCACAAGGATTTTGCGCGAAAGACCGAAAAAATAAGATATCTCGAAAAATTTGTGTGGACAGGTAAATATATTTTGAATGATTGAGATAGGGGAGGGTGGGGGTAAAATGGACACTTTTGATTTTTTTTAATTCAATTGTTCATGGAATGAAATAATTGTATTCTTTAATTGAAAAGACAATTCTTCCCCTTTGTGATGAGCTTAGACTGCGCTGAATTGATAAATCTGTTCCTGAGTTATGAATATTAATAAAAAAATTAAAAAATGTCCATTTTACCCTATCCTCCCCTACTCGCGAAAAACGAGTACAAAGAAAAGGCTTTTTTTATGAAAAACTAATAGACAGATCACGCGGAAATTTGGCACGTAGTTAATCGGAATCAATATCAAATATGAGACAAAATTTCAATTTTTTTTGGAATTGTTTTAGCTGTTTATTCATTCAATTTACCAGAAATCGAGCTCCGAAAGTGTGCCGGACACCCACACATAAACACATGGTCCCGAAACTTCGTATTTTTTCGTTTCAGACCATTCTACATCCATCCATCTTTCTAAATCAAATTAGAAAATGAAAATTATACGTTTTCGACGCTCCCCATTGGAAGGAAAAATGAATCATTTTCTGAACCAAGTTTGCAATGTTTATTTGTTGACTCGAATGTCGGATATTTTTAAGTTAACCAACTAAGAAATTTTTCTTATTAATTTCGAAAACTTCATTCATTAACAAAAGTTGTAATTTTGTCTAACCTCTACTGTACGAATCAACTAAAAATGTTCTGAACAATTTCAATGGATTCTTCGCAATATTTATTTCCAAATTTCCCATTCCCAAAAATAAAATTCAATTCAAATTATCTTTCCAATATCAGAATGTGTTTCCGTCATGACAATTGATGTAATACAATGATCTATCGCGATGAAATTGTGATAACCTCGAGGTAAGCAGCGTCAACTTTACTCTCAACCCCTCGCACCTCTCACTCCTTAACGTCTTCTTCGAAACAGTTAAACTTTAAACGATTTTCGATTATTTAACAAAAAATTCAAAGTGCGTAGCAATGAATAAGTGAATCGTTACGTAGTTTTTCACTGCACACGAACAATTATTCCTTTTTTTATCAATTCATGGGTAATATATCTTACGTTGGACGTTATGAGTTACCGACCGAGTCTCGTCCCTTTAAATTTCTACTGCTATTGGACATTACCTGCCCGAGCCTTGGAAAACAGATCACCTTGCCCCACGTGCAAGATTGCCTTCCGAGCCGAAGGCGAGGATGGCAAGCACGTGGGGGGAGGGTGATATGTTTTCCATGACGAGGTGTGTATATTAATTTTCGTGTCGAGGGACCTGCAAAACGCCAATTTCGTACTGAAAATAAGCTAATCGGACGATTAGTTAAGGAAATGTTTAGCTCTGTATGTAAATCCATTGCCTTCAATATCTCAAAAACTAAACTGAGAGAAAAAACTGCTTTCCACAAATAAGGTGCACTTGATACAAAAAAATATTCTCCTGTCAATTTTAAAAATCGTGAAATCTCCTGATAAATAATTTCGTTCTCAGGCTGAGAGAAAAGAGTTTTCCATGTAGTTTGCCTTATATCCCCAATTTTTCTTTCATCAGAACTTTGGTTACATACAATCTTGCACATAGAGTACAACACTTTAGATCANTTGGCACTCGTTACGAAATATACTATTTCATCACGCTGTGCGAAAAAGTAGCTTTTTAAAACGTCTCTTTTCCACACATTGAGATGGAATAGTATGTTTCGTAACGAGTGGAAAAAACATTTTTTCACGAGTTACGAACAATATTTTTCATCACAATGTGGCGGAAATTGGACTTTTAGGCACGCGGAGCGTGCCGAAAAGTTCACTTTTCGTCACAGCGTGATGAAAAATACTGTTCGATACTCATGTGAAAAGTATGTTTTGGCTCGTGGGATTATATCACTCGCCTTCGGCTGGTGCTATAAACTCCTACGAGCCAAAATAGTATATTTCGTCATTAGGCCGAAAAAAACTTTTCTGGCGAATATGAGGCTTGCAGCACGAGCCGAAGGCGAGGGCTGCAATCATATTTCTCAGAAAAGTTTTTTTACAAAACACCCTTTTCCGCATTCATATAGAAACATTACAAAAAACACTTTTCCGCATTCATATCGAAATATACTGTTTCCTATTTCCTATTTCTATGTTGGTAAACGGCGTTTTACGGCCAGTCTGATGAAAATGGCTATTTCTTTAACAGTGGGAGGCGATTGTAAAGATTATAAAATTAGAGAAGGATACTTTTTGAGCTGTCACTCAGCTATCACATTTAAACTGCAACCAAAACTACTTTTCTGGCATGAACTTCTGCTAAATCATTTTATCAGTGGAAGAGACTAAAATGGACCCTGAGTGACATTTCAAAAAGTGACTCTCTGTTTTTGTAATCTTTACAATCGACTCCCCACTATTAAGGACATGATTCTAATGAAGAGAAATAATGGCCTGTTTTTTTTCTATATCGAATTTTATAACCTTTACAATTAATTGATGGCAGGCTTTCGAATGGTTACGTTTTGGTTGTTCGATGGGCTCTTATGGGCTCAATATGATCGGTTAAGTACACTCAGAGAAAAAATTACTTTTGACAATGATGATTTCCTTGATACGAGAAATAGTATATTTCGTAACGAGTGCAAAAAAGTGTCTTTTGGCAAGTGGGAGGTTTATATCACGAGCCGAAGGCGAGTGATATAATCCCACGAGCTAAAAAACATTTTTTCACGAGTTACGAACAATATTTTTCATCACAATGAAAAATAGAGACTAAAATGGACCCTGAGTGACATTTCAAAAAGTGACTCTCTGTTTTTGTAATCTTTACAATCGACCCCCCACTATTAAGGACATGATTCTAATGAAGAGAAATAATGGCCTGTTTTTTTTCTATATCGAATTTTATAACCTGTACAATCGGCTCCGACTATTAAAGAAAAAATCCCAATTCAAGGGATAACCACCAGTTTTTTTTACATTATCCACCTCCTAACGAACGAAACGTCCCGATTAAAAGGGATAACAGCCCGTAAAACATAAAACATAGAACATAAAATGGACCCTATAAGAAAAAAATGTACTACAACAGTTCTTGTCTTTTGAAAAGAGTACACTTAACCCTGGAAATCATCACCCAAATTCGCATGACGCGTCATCAGAATAGAAATAATCAGTTCAGTGCGGCTAAAATTGACCCCCTCCCCATATTTTTATTTTTTTTCGTTTTTCGGGACATCAAATTATGAGTGAAATTTTTTGGATGTTCCTTAATTGCGGCTGTCCAAATAGAGGTTCAGACTGAACCCGACTGTCAAAAGCATCAAATGGAAAAGTAGAGCGAAAAATATAACAAGGATTTAATAGGAGGTCCAAATTAAATTAATCAAAAACATAAGACGAGAAAAACAGTTTATTACGTATTAAAAGCACATAAAAAGATTAACAAATATTGTATCAATAACAAAAACAAAATGGCATGTACATAAACCATTGATTCCCTAATCAACAGTCATCTGTTCTCTCGTCAATAAAAATATTATTATTCAATTCTATTTATGTCTATGACTTTTTTGGTGTCATGCCGATTCAGATGTTTGAGCTACCAATAACAAATTTCGATAATGTTCATTACTCCATCTTATACAATTTAATAATCGATAGAATACAGATGTGTTAATCCTTTGTGTCTAAAACCTCTTTTATTCTTTGTACCGTAAATTTTTCATGAATTGGTGCTGGTAAATACACGTATCTACATATTCAGCAAAAATATGCATTTGATCTATAATATGAATCAGTAGCGAAATGGTGACAGGACGTTTAACACGGATTCGCGAATGATTTCGCACTGATATTCCTTATTCCTTAGAAAGTGGTTGAGAGGGATTAATTGAGGTCTTTCTAGCAATATATGATGTGGACTTGAGGAACCTCTCAATATTCTCCTCTGAACCGAACAGTCTCAGAGCTGTTTTCAAGATCCTTGTTATTACAGAACTACTCACCAATAACTTCTGAAGGAAGAGGTTCAGATGAGCTCATCCAGAAACCTTCGTTGTAGCCTATCATTTTTTTTCGCGGAAACATTCTTTTGGAATCGTCCCCTTAGCCCAAAAAGGTGAAAGATATTAGCAAAGTGATTAGTCTGGAATTGTCGAACTCATCTCCTCACACCACTTCACTACAAAATCAACTATTTCTTTATTCAACAAAATGTATGCCACTGAAAAAGGTGGAACCTCGATAAAGCCTCTATATAGAAAAATCTGTCTCTCATTTAGTTGAACCTCTAGTCAGATTAATCATAAACATAATTCATATGTTTACGCAATTGCCGTTACTAGCCCTTAAAAATACTCATTTCTCTGGAACCTTTGATTCACATCAATTATGCATTTAGAACTTGCTTGATTATCTAACTTTCGTTTTCAATTTTTAATTTTCACGTACATTTTGTACTTCCTCCATTAGTTTCTCCTTTTAGCAAGGTACCACATAGCTTTCGGCTCACAAAATGCCAAAATTGCTCACTGAAATGGAGCACAAAAAATAATTGGAGTTATTAATGTCATTGGATTTTCTAAATCGTATTGACTTTTTACTCCAATTTGATAAGTTTCGTAGGTTTGAAGTTTTCCATAGCTTCCACTCGACAGTTTTTTCATGATAGCTCACCAATTGGGGCATTCTGAACCCAAAGATCGTGGATGTAAGTGTATAAATCATCACTGACTGCCACCTGAATTACGACAGAATATTTAGCAATTTGAATACAATTGTCATGGAATTCTTTGAAATTTTTTCACTGTTTTTGTACCTTGTATGGAGTCGGGTTCAAGCTGCGTTTGATATCAGTCCTCAAAGTTTTCAGTGACTCCTGAACACGATTTCTTGCCTTCTGGAGAGTGGGAATTGGGAGCACCACTTTTCCGTTCTTCCAGTACACCTTAATGTTTGAGATAAGACGATAATTTAGAAACGCCCATTGTTCTGTGAATTCTTTTAAAATCAATAAGTTGAGTGGAACATTTGGAAACTTTTTTTTTGTAAAAAAAATCATGTCCTAAAGCGAGATTTCCAGACCCACAGTGATCTCAATCCAGTAGTTTTAAAGAAATTTTTTAGATAATCTGCCAACTCGTTACCAGCTCCATTTCAATATTGATTGATCAAAGCTATTTCTTGAGGATTGAAAAAAAGAAAGTCTCTTGCACACGACTTACAATACAAAAATTTGAGAAAAATCATATGAACGTAGAACATGAGAAATATCCTGTGAATATGAAAAAAATCCTGCAATTTAAGTAAAAAAATGTAATTGTGAAGTACTAGAAAATTGACGATTTTTTGCCGATTCTCGTCCACTGCTTTGTTGTTAAAAAAATAGAATCACTAATTAATCCCTCGCGTATTGCGTCTGTATATCATATGATCAATGCGAAACATGACTTTTCAAAATTTTATCTGAACTATGCGTTTTATAATTTTATATCGATCAGAAGTTATCGAATCTGAGTGGTGTTGTATCCCTCTGAAATACTTCAGAGTAGTATGTTTAGCATAATAACCGGAAAGTTTTATTGATGGAAGTTCAATTCGACTAAAGTTGAATTACCCAAAAATTCACGTTTCCAAAGTTGATTTAACCAAGTTTTTTGACGAAATTTTTTTGACGTGCTCCCACACGTTGCATTACTCTCTTGCATTGTGCATTACGAACTGAGAAAAAAAATTATTTCTGCCAAATATTCATTTACTTGAGAGAAGCATTTATTTATTCAAAATCGTATTTCTCCTATTCATCAATCATGTTGCTCTAGAGGATGACTCATTTGATATTGCATTTGACCTTGGATGCACTCCTCCAATGATTATTCATTTTTCCTAAATTTCTCATTTTCTAGAGGGAAGAATTTCCATCAATTTAATCTTAATCTTGCTAATGATTGAGGGATATAATTGTCAATTATGACGATTATATTGAAGCACCATAATTGCCATAATTGACACCTAATGAGGATTGCCTGGGAGTGACTCGACTGCAGAAATACGGTATTGAAAAAGTGAATATTTCTCTCAAGTAAATGGATATTTGGCAAAAATAACTTTTTTCTCAGTGCGCTCTTGATTCAACATCACTAGACAAATAAAATTAAATAACCCGGCTGTGTGGCGCACTTGGTAGCAGCATGAGATTCACAACTTCAAGCTCCCAGTTCCGAGCCCCGGCCGAGCTAAAGTTCCACACCAAGTTTTATCGCAAATTTCCACAGAATATTCATCTGAAAATTTAACACAATTTTCAAACCGAATATTCCACAGATTTTCCAAGTGAAAAACCCACTCCACATTCAATATTCCCTGGCTGAAGGCCCTCGGGCGATGGCCGCGTTGAAGTTAACCCTTGCAACGAAAAACCGGTGAAATTTTTAAAATTAAAGAAAATTCTCCATACCCTATGCAACGTCTCAACCCTGGTAGGAATGACATAGGCCCTCTTGGATTCCTGAAAGGGATGCCTGCACAACACCCTTCTGCCAACTTGTGGTGCAGGCTCAGTAGATCTTTGCAGGAGATCGATCAAAGCATGACCATCAGCCCCATACAGCCTATAAGCGTTCTTTCTACCTGGTATCGTGACCTTATCCACTTCCTGACTAAGTTTTATCCTCGGCTGATCGTTAATCTCCACCATTTTGTACACACAACCGAGGGCAGGCTGTCTCTGGCACGTTACTAAGTGGGTTCCCACACCGAAGCAATCGATCTGATGATTCTGCTCATTTAGACTGATTATTGTCTCTTCGTTGATGTCATTAGAAGCAACTATCGTTAATTTTGCAAACCAGGGTAGATCGAATTTTTCGGCAAGCTTCCGAAACGTTTCCCTCGATAACTGACTGAGATAGGCAAGATCTCCACTGTCGATTCTGATACCAACTGCTCTGTAACCTAGGTCAGAGAGAGCCAGGGCCACGGCACAGAAATTCAATAATCCACTCCTGTCATCAGACAAAAGACCATAACGGTTCTTTTTAATTTTTTCGTGATCAACTCGACAGTAAAGTGATCGCATGAGTCGAGTCAAGTGTGAAATCTTTTCTATGAGTCAAGGAGTTAAAATTCATCGCTTCAAAGGATGTTTATCCGCGATATTATTGGCTTCCACAGGTTAAACTATGATGTTTATCCGTTTTTTGGGAATTCCTGGACTGATGGGAAAACATACCGTTAAGGGGAGACTACTGTGAGTTTTAAAAGTCGCGGGCTATTGAAATGAAATTTCTCCGAGGGACTGGTCACTCCTCCATCGGGTGGCTCAGTGATTTCCAGAATAGGATGATTTCTTGTGATTTCTTGAATGATTTCTGTGATTTCTGAATAAGAAATGGAAATCATGTTTTCTTTTAATTTGTCGTGATTTCCACGATTTCTAGTAGATTCTGATGATTTCTTGATTTCAAGAAATCATTCGAAAAATCATGATTTTAGGGGCAAAATGGGCATTTGTGGATAATCGTATATGGCTAACATTCGGTGAACCAAAGAGTTTAGAAGGGCCTTATGTGTGTGATAGTAAGAACCAAATAATATGTGCACAAAAAGGTCATGAGGGTCAGGCGGGATCGTATCAGTGATGATTTATACATGTATGAAAAAATCGTATAGAAATTTTCCATACGGATTGCGTATGGAATTTCTATAGGATTTCCGTACATGATATACGGATATTTCTATACGAATTATTCCTATACATAAATTTTTACATAAATTTTTGTATTCATACGAAAGATGTCTATATATTCCAGAGAAAAACGTAGAGAAATGTCGCAACTCCATACGAAATGTTTCTATACATGTGGCAGTGGGTCGCATAGGATCAAACCTATAGAAATCGTATAAAAGTAATTTGTATAAAAATATACGTATAGAAATATCCGAATGCTATATACGAAAATCCTATAGAAATTCTATACACAATTCGTATGGAAAATTTCTATACGATTATTCCATACGTGTAATTATGTCTGAAATCACCTGATTTCTTTATGATTTCCGCTGATTTCCGATGATTTCCAGAAGTTATTAGAAATTACTATCGGAAAGGGAAATCACTTGATTTTTCAGTGATTTCTGGTGATTACTTCCTCGATTTCCAATCGAGTGGTCCAATGATTTCCTAAGTGAACAGTCCCTCGAATTTCTCATACATTGAAGATCGATTATATATGTTTAAAAACCAATAATTAGTGCAAAAAATAGATTGTTTATTACTCGTTTGCCCTGCAGACGCTTAAAAATTGGAGGCCCTGAAATATTTCTAACATTTTAAGCGTCTGCGGGGAAAACGAACAATAAATAATTTTTTTTTGCACTGATTATTCATTTTTAGACATATAATCGATCTTCAATGCATGAGAAATCTCACTCCAATAGCACGCGACTTTTAAAACTCATAGTAGTCTCCCCTTAAGGGCCTAGTTACCGGATGGGGTATAGTAACCGAAAATTTTCGGGATTTCTGTAGCCTGATCAATTGTAGCATTAATTATTCGATAGAAAATTATTCGAATCATTCAGAGATAGCAAACAAAACCCGCAAAATAATTTTGTACTCAATACAAATAAAGATACATTATAAGACCGCCGAATGGTACGAGGTTAACCAGAGCCATAAACCAAGAAGAACAAAAAGTAAAAGTATGTCGTTTTATATGTATGTCTTGGAACTAGTCCTAAGTGGCCGAAAACTAGGTCTTTTTCGGTATAAACTTTTGTGGCTATAGAAAAAAATCATTGCAAGACTTTAGACACAATGAAGTGAAACATTTTTATTTATATAAGGGCTCTTATGGGATCCGCCTTCAAAACAGTTATTCATCTACTAGAAAACTTTAAAAATAAAAATAGAGTGCAACGGGAACGAATACACGGAGTGCGATGGCCAAGGAGAAATCTAATGTACCCAGACAAATGACTGAACACTGAGAAAACAAATTATTTTTGCCAAGTATTCATTTACTTTAGGGAAGCATTTATTTTGTAGAAATCGAATTTCTCTAATCGAGTCTGATTGGGTTTTAATTATGACAATTACGTTGCTCTAGAAGATGACTATGTTACACACAATCTTAGATGAACTCCTCCAATGATTACTCATTTTTCTTAAATTTTTTATTTTCTAAAGGAATGAATTTGGATTGATCTTTTCATGCTGATAATTGTTGAGGGATTTCACTCAAGGTCATAACTAACATGATCATTTTCTAGAGGAATCCAATTGTCATAATTGAAACCTAATTAGGATTGCCTGGGAATGACTCGACTGGAAAAATACGGTATTATAACAAATAAATACTTCTCTCAAGTAAGCAGAAATATCACAGAAATAGTTGTTTTTCTCAGTAAAGCATTAAAAACCTTAAACCTCATGCTAGCGCCTAAATCTAGTGCATACTATCAACTTGGGTTGATGGATTTAAGGCCCGGAGGTACTATCTTTCGAACGTTATCTCGATGTTTTTTTTCATCTTCCGCCATCTGAACTTGTCAATTAAGTCCCGTATCATGCAAGAAGTTTTGAAAAATTATGAATAAATAATCAAAAAACGTAGAAGAAATTCTGAATTTTTTCAAAAAGCATTTTTAATTTATATTCAGAATAAGTTGAATAACAAGAAATTAAAAAATGTATCTGATTTACGGTGACAAATGGCGGCCTATCACCCAATATCGTATATTTCGTAAATGTTTTCTCACACTGCACAGAGACATTTATTACGGAAAAAGCTCTTTAAAAAAAGTTGTAATATTTTGGAGAATTTTTTAATAACACTTTTATCACATAAAAATGGCAGATGACTACATACCACTGTTTTGAAAATTGAGATACCAAGCTGTCACTTCCCATGAGGAGTCAGTGTTTTGTTATCCACCATGGAGAATGACAGCTAATAGATTAATTGCCACAGCGAATCAGATATTTGTAATTTCCACGTTTTTCAACTCATTCTGAATCTCAATTAAAAACGCTCTTTGAAAAAGTTCAGAATTTTTTCTATTTTTTTCATCATTCTATCATAATTTTTGGGAATTTCTACATGATGTACCACTCAATTGACAATTTTGGATTACGACAGATAAAAAAAATCCAGATAACATTCGAAAGATAGTACACCCGGGCCTTAAATTTTTATCCACATGAATAAGATGACGTTGAGCGGTTTTGGTTAAACATCTCCAATTGTCTCACTATTCTCAAAATGTAGATACTTGAGGGATATTTCACGGACCTTTGCAGCAGACGAATGAAATTCCTGCTATTTCGCCCTTCATTTCCAAGACTCTTGGCTAATTACCAATGAAGCGACAAATTTTTCGCCGGCTAATGATTTTTCTTGATCTCAATCATTACTCAGAAAATTGATGATGAAGCCCAATCGAGATGACAATGAAATTTCTATTAATTACTTGATTATTCTTAAGGTATATCCCAAGACAGTCGGAACCCAAAAGTTAGTTCCTATGGATTTCCGGAAAAAAATCTAAATAACTCAATTTATTGCATTCTCATAAGTTATTGAGTTTTTCTATTCTTATATGCTGTTGATGCAGGCAACAATAACTGTTTGAATCAAATAAAAAATTATTTGTTAATTGATTTTTTGAATCAAATAAGGAATGCTTCCACGGAATTTACATTGTTTAGAGTTGAATATCGCAGAAACTGTAGTACAAAATTTTACAAAAAAATCACCGCATTCGGAATTTATCAATCTATCACGGATTAATTTTTTAAGAATATCATAAGAACTGTTTTCTCTTAATATGACAAAATAGCGTTGGGAGGAACCCATAACCCTCGTCTGGCCGATGCCTCGCTGTTAGAAGCCCGCGTTCCATTAATTATTATCTCCTGAACCGTGTAGTGCAGCTGCATTTTTTTCAATAGCTGCGGGCTATCATAAACATTATCTACGAAAAACATGGGGACAATCTTAAGAAAAGCGTGTTTTCTAGGGATATACCTTAAGTGTATTCTTTGACCGATGAGTTGATGAACAATTTGGCATTGGCCTGTGCGCTCTGTGACAAACTCGAAGATCAAATGAAATAAACAAAAAATGTGGTGATGTTCGTGGTGACAGATTTAACCTGCCCACGAACAGGGGCCCAGTGACGTATGGGTTTGTGATGTATTTTTAACAACACATTAGTTATATCTCAATAAATAATGCCCCTGAAGATGGCCCTGCATCGAGGGACCGAAAAGTCGGGCTTAGTCTCAGCATAGTTGGCCCTTTTCTTATTTATTTCATGCCACACTGAGAGAAAAACAAACTAGTTCTCAGACAAGTCTTGTTTGTGCCAACAAAATCGCTCGTTGAAAATTTCCAAAAAAGAAATCGTTTGACTCGAATTTTAAAGTCTCAAACATGAATAATTGTTCTGCTTTCGATATAGTATATTTCGTAACGAGTGCAAAAAAGTGTTTTTTGGCGAGTGATATAATCCCACGAGCTAAAAAATATTTTTTCACGAGTTACGAACAATATTTTTCATCACAATGTGGCGGAAATTGGACTTTTAGGCACGCGGAGCGTGCCGAAAAGTTCACTTTTCGTCACAGCGTGATGAAAATAAAATATTTGGATCAAGAGGCGGATAATTCACACGAGACATACCTTTTCAGGATGAAACGATCTCATATACAGGCAAATTTATCAAGAAATATTTTGTCCCTAACTTACAAGACTGCTGTTATATCATTATTATTATTTCATTTAAGAATTCATTTCTTGTCTCGAATAGCGGAAATGAAAAACTACTATTCCTTGTTTCGCATAAAGCGAACATTTTTCGGGAACAAAATACGTATGGGAATATCGAATAATGACAAAGTAGTGCGAGAATTACATTTTTTGTTTGCACGCAAAATACAATTTTTTGTACAACTATTAAATCTATTTTTACAGTAAAAATTATTCCATCGCGAGGGTCCATGATTATAAATTCCATTTAAAAACTACTCCGTCAAAAAAACCTCCAAAATAACACGTGGCAGATAGGGCGGAGTTGTTTTGACAGCAGTTTTTTAGACGTGCTACCGTATCGGGACACTTTTTGCATGTTTGGCACAAAAAAATCCTTTTTTGAGCATTTAAAAAAATAGTACCTTATGTCATAAAGCGATAAAAGTATTATCTGGCAAATGTGATTATAATCCTCGCCTTCGGCTCGGATCATAAACCCACATTCGCCAGATAATGCTTTTATCGCCGTGTCACATACGATATTTTATGTCGTTGGTCACGAACGACATAAAATATTGTATAATCCTCGCTTCGCTCGGTTAGATCGCGGTTTATCGGGCCTAACGACATAAACAGTTTTTTTTGGCACAAGTAAGACTTGTTTGAGAACTGTCGGTTTTCTCTCAGTACATCTTCAAGTTTGCCACTGACCGCACAGGCCATCACCAAATGGTTCAATTACTTGATTATCTAAGAGAAGAAAGCTTCAACTAATCCGATGATTAACAATTGAGAATCAAAATATTTTAGCAATTCTCTACTGTATTAGGGTATGAGTGGGATTAAATGCAGGTGCAATGATGAATGTCGTCAGTTCAAGTCTTGTTTCTGTGGTTATTACACTGGACTGTACAGAACATGCACGATTTCATACATAAGTCAATACATAAGTCACGTATTATTTTTTAGTATTTAGGCTGAATTGGGGAAGGCAATATATGAGGCGATAATGCAATGCGCAAAATACGTTTCGTCACCACAGAAAGTTTAAATACACAATGGAGAAAAGCAAAAGTCTAAAGTTATTCATTTGCTGCGTGTATTATGAGTGGATTCGGAATGATTTTATCAACATGCTGAGAAGATTTTTCTAGACATTCCTCAACTCAGAAAAAATATTGAATTGAAACGAATCAAGTTGATTTGAATGAGAGAGACACTTGTAAATGTCTTCAACTGCGAGAGATTCAGATAAATTCATCCAGATACTTTTTTCCCGATGAACTTTTCGGAAGTCACTCGTTTCAACACAAAACTAATTTGTAAAAAGAAGAAAAAATAATATTTTTCTGGGTATAAGGTCTCCTGTACAGTCTCACTCAGTGTCCAATCCGTGAGATTATTAATTGTCATGAAGTATGAATGAAAAAATGTAAAATCAATCAATGAAACGAAAAAAGACCCTGCATCAAGCAACGGACAATCCTCAATAAAGAAAGAAAAACGATGAGAGAAAGGTTCTTACTTAAATGTAAGACAACACGAAATCCTACCTCACACAGAGCTCGCCCAATTCGCCTGGTTTTAAAAAGTCATTGTTGTGTGACGGTGTTCTTGTGAGGCTCTTGCGGGGCCAGTCTCGTTGCATGGCATTAAAGCCATTCTTGTGGGTATCTGATTTAATCGTCTCATTATTCAAGTTATTTCCGTCATTAACACTGACCGTGGTCTCGGTTTTAGTGTCATTAGAATTAAGTTTTGAGCTGCCTATGCGTATCTGCCGCTCGATCGATGATTTTATGCTACAAATACACTAGCGTTAGACCAAACTAAAGAGTGAAATAAATGAAATAATAGATACTTTTACGTGTGCTCATGATTGTCTCTTGTCGTTTCATCAATTGAATATTTATTTCAGATCGTACTGAACTATTTATGCCAAAAACTTCATCTATAATGTTGTTGATCAAGGGTAAAGTGGCAAGAGCAAATGAGGAACAAAATTCAATACCGATTGTTTTGCAAATACGGTGAATCATCTAGTGTTTGAAATTTATTTTTTCCACATACAACCTTCAAAGTAGCTCTATCCTTCGGCCAGGCTACGCTGTACTTTTGGATATTTTCAGTTTTTAAATTTTTCAACTAAATTGCATGGAAAAAAATTGAAAAAATTCATACCCAGTCAGTATTATCTAAATTAAATTTCGAAAAATATTGATATTTTTTCAAACATTCCCCTCTTATAAATATATAATAAAACTTGTTTGCAAAACAGTGGATTATTTTTTATGAGGTGTCAAAAAAATTCTTGATTTTTTCACATCTAATGAAAAAAAATTCCGATTGTAATCTTTGATTACAATGAAAATGTTGATTTTCACATAAGACACTGGGTTAAATCCTGATTTTTAAACATTTCTTCTTTGAAAAATGAAAACGATAACTAAATTGACAAAAAAAATTAGACTTCCGAATCTAATCGAGTTTTCTGCAATTTTTTTTGCAGTTTTCAATAATCTTTGAATTTACCGTAAGGGTAGAGCTACTTTAATGCACATTATAATATCAAGTGCATCAACTCAGTGAGATCTTATGAAATTTCTGTATACAAGTTATTGCTGAATTTTATTTGTTCGATCACCGTTGGTTGATGAAACGTCATTTTTACACTCATTCCAATAGAAATATTGGACTAATGTGTTCACCTTCCGCTACACGAGCGTAGGATCATTTACGTTATCTAATTGGAGTTACTGAGATACGTATTTTTGAATTTTCTTTGAGATACTTGGCTTCTGTCATCTCCTCTGAGATACAAAGTTTCAATCAATATTTTGAAGATACTTGAGTCCAGAACGAAATCTTGAGATATGTGGTTTTGGAAATGTTTTCTGAGTTACACAGTTTCCTTTGGGAGCCATCGATTTGGTCAAACCCTTGACGATTCACTGTATCTCATAAACTAATACAGTAGTGAAGCGGTAAACCGAGTTAAGTCGATTTTGACTATTAGCCAGTTTTTGCTGAATATCTCGGAATCTAAGAGAGATAGCAAAAATTTTCTCACGACTTTTTTTATAACGCTCTATTGGCTCTACAAAAAAGGTCATGACAAAAATCTTTCTATCTCTTTTAGATTCCGAGATATTCGTCAAAAACTAGCCAATAGTAAAAAACGACTTAACCCGGTTTACCGCTTCGCTACTGAATAGAAATTCTCAAAAAAGAAAGTTCATGTATTATTTGTCATTTCCCCTTTAGGGCAGCTCTTCATGGACGCTACACTGAGAAAAAAAAATGTATGTAAAGATTTGTATATGTGTAAATTTTCTTGTAGTTGGTAAATATACTTGGCAAAAGTAATTTTTTTTCTCAGTGTAAGCACTGTCTATTGCCCTCTTGAGAAAAATAATTTTCGTCATTTGGCCGAAAAATATCATTGTTAGATCTCTTGCACTTTACTCCTTTATTTACATTTCTTGCTATCCTGAGGAGAGTTATCATAAAAAATTTGTTTGATAAAAAAGTAGTGATAGCAAGCTTGCAATACCATAAAATTCTAGGAGCCCTTGAATTATCTGAAACATTCCCTCAAAATTTTTTTTCCGTATGAATAAGAGAAAATAGAAAGAAAGTACATGAATAACTCCCCAGTTACCATCACATAAATGACCCCAAAAATAACAACAAGCGTGCTAAAAATAGTGCCACTTGACTTTTTACATATCAAAAGTATCATTATTTATTCATCTCAGGTATTTATCATGCAAACAAGATCAATAGTTTAGGGTATCTACAAAAATTTCCATAAAAAAATATATAAAAATAGATCACAAAGAAGCAGCTGTATTCCAGTGCGTGAGGTTGACTACTATGTTAAATAAATGGCTAATAAATCTTACCTTTTGACGTCGTAAGTATCGACGAGTGCCATGAAACCGTCTGGGAAGGCAATGGCAAAGCTTACGAGAGCTGCAAGTTCACTGTCAGATGCCTCCATTACTAGTGCATCGAGATCAGAAGCTATTGCCTCACGATACTGGCACGCAAGGTCAAGGAGATTGAACTCCTCGCCGCTCTCTTTGTGCCTAAGGGTCTGAAACATTGAAAATTGCAATTTTGTTCAATTTTTTTCATTTCGAAATTTCGAAAAAACAACTGAGATGATAATTACTCGTAGTTTCAATTCATCGATTCCAGCGAAAGAGCTGATGTAGGCATGAGCGTGAGTTCCTCGCACTGGTATGTCGAAAAGTTTGCCGGCGAGAATGTTGCTTGTTCCATCAAACCCACCTAAAAGTAGTTTTTGAAATTTTTAATCGTTTTGAGGAAAAGAATGAATCAATCTATTGAAGGAGTGGTGAAACGCTTTAAATTCACATATGAGCGATTTTGAAAAACATTTTCAGAAGAGCCTTATATTTTTCCCTGGAGGAGAGGCTTTGACGAAGGGAAAATTACTTCGTTTCGAAATGATTGCACATACACGGAGAGAAAAATTTAAAGAAAAGTACCATGAAAAAAATATTAACAAGTGAACAATGGCTTTTTTTGCTTCTGAACGGAAGCATTGTATTCGTCAAAACCGAAATTTCCATTTTTTTGTGTCAGGATATCTAATTTTGGCCTCAGGATTTCGGATATGCTATTTTTAGACCATGTCCGGATCTATCTATGTGTGTGTGTATGTGTGTACATGACCGGTTTTGTTTTACGTTTTTCTCGACATACATATTGATATGGCTTAAAACATCATATTCTGATTCCGCAGTCTAAAATTAGTTATACCAGCGGAAATAACTGAAAACCTGGATTTTACCGATTACAATGGTTTCATTCGAAAGCAATTGTATCTATGTATGTTATTTCGTGGAGCGTGATAACGATTTGTTAAAAATTACACTCTTCCACGCCAATTTTTTTCCAATATTAGCAATAATTTGGATTTCTTTGCACAGAAAAATTGTGGGTCGATACACATTTTTCATCGGTATCGCGTGCGCGCCCTATCTTTATGTGCACTTGTTTTTTTCCCAATGTCCGTAAACAATGTTTAACGGTCACAAAGTGCATGAAAAATGACGTTTTACAGATCGTGTGGGAAAAATGGTTTTTACACGCTGCACACCACCCACACGCCACATAGAGACGTGGAATGACCGTCATTTTCCCTTTCGGTCAAATCAGACGTAAATGACCAGTTTCGGACCGTTTTCTGACCCTGAACCGAATTTTGCATGCGAAATGACCGTCACAGTCAAGGGGTCTCCTCAGTAATTTTGGCCACAAACCGACAATGTACTAGCGAACTATAACACTGAGTGTTTTTGAGGACTTGAACAATAATTTTGCTGACATATTTGTATTCTTGTAACTCCTTTTTTTCAAGAAAATTAAAGTAATAGGTTCAACTGTTCCAATGGATAATGACTGCTTCTCTGCAAGAAGCACATTACCGAAATAATTACCTAATTAGCAAAACGTCATACTTAATAAATGACTTTTTCCTTCTGTACTGCAGAATATACCCTGAAAAAGTTGTTTTTCGCATTCTTCTTGCGCAATTTACATGAAGACAGTTAACTGCTCTTTAATTACACTTTCAAACGACCTAGAAAATTATGACGCCGTACCAAGCCGTAGATCGACACAAAGTAGAAATTAATAGAACGATTTACTACAAAAAAAACTTCCGGAACAAGTTGGCCAAAATAATTGAGATATTACAAATCCAATGCACCCCTGCAACACTGTTATCTCGAAAAAAGTTACTTTCAAGGTCACGCCCCAGTTTTCCTTGAAAATTTCAAAGTCAATCGATTAACTGGCAATTAGAGGACTAAATCAACAGTTAAAATTTGTCGATTAAATTTTCGGGGGAATGAGAATGTCGGTACCATTGAGGTAACTGGTACCGTTTTATCGACTGGAAAATCGAAAACTGGTTGTCATGGAGAAGTCTGTGTGATGCCAAAACACATTGAAATTCCATTGGAAGTTGAATACTTTCTTATATAGCAGTAGAGAAGAGTTTTCGATATATCCGTCTATGAATTCATTGTAAACTTGAACTTGAGAATAAAGAAAGGTAGTAGAAAGTATCTCACCTATGTAGCTGTACCTCGAGGCGCTCAATCCACCGTCAGGACCTTGTGCACGACGTAGACCGAATTCAAGAAGCGATACATTATTACCAGCTACCATGCGATATCTTGCTGCATTTGTTGCCATTAGGCTTGCGTAATTTACCAGAGTCAGTAGGGTTGTTTCCAAGAGTTGTACCATTATTAGAGGGCCTTCTACTTTCATTAATGGCACTCTGGAATACATTTTTCAAATTGTTAGTGGTAGGAAATTTTTGCATGAGGAGGAAATAAATGATAGGCAGGCGAGGAGGGATTAATGTGATCCTGATGACTGATTTTCAAGTGATCGCCGTAATTTGCGACGCTAGCAGTATTTATTATGGGGTTAATTTTTTTTGTAGAGCATTGCATTTTTAAGGGGAGAATACTATGAGTTTCAAAAGTCGTGGGCTATTGGAATGAGATTTCTCATACATTGAAGAGCGATTATATATATCTAAAAACGAATAATTAGTGCAAAAAAATTAATTGTGCGTTTGCTCCGCAGACGCTTAAAAAGTTAAAAATAGTCGAGGGCTTTCAACTTTTGAGCTACAGGTTTTTTTTTTCAAAATTTTTGAAAAAAATGTGCACAATGACAATTACGAATTAGTTTTTTGAAATTCAACTCCTAAAGAGCTAAATTCGTTTCTTTTTTAATAAAAAAAATACACCATTCATGTAAAATAAACCGAAAATTTTTTCTGAAAGTACCGAGAATATATTTTAAATATTTTAAGAATCATTTTTCTGCCCATTTTACATGAATAGCGCAAATTTTTATATTAAATTTTTTTTCTCTCGTATACCCTTTCGGGTTTTTACGATTTGTTCCCTTCCCACTCCCTTACCGCCTGAACCGCATTCGCCGATGGATAAGGGAAAATATCATTTGAGGGAAAAACCTGCCCAGGTACAGTCATCTCTTGCGAGACTCCCGCTGGACAATGAAACTGAGATTTAGAGTGCCACAAAATTTTTGGCAAACGAACAATAAACAGTTGATTTTTTTGCACTAATTATTCGTTTTTAGACATATATAATCGATTCAATGCATAAGAAATCTCACTCCAATTGCTGCGAATTTAAAACTCATAGTAGTCTCCCCTTCAACTATCTTGAAAATCTTGAGTGAATTATCTTGAGTGAAGAGTAATCATTATTAGTGGGCTATAATAAAAGTCGCTTCGCATTTTTTCTCGTATTATGAGACATTTCTTAACACTCCGTTGGTCGCGCTTTGAGCGCCGCACCGCACTTTTTCCGATTTTTTAAAATTACACTGCAGTAGCCTCAGAAAAATTTGAAAAAAATTGACATCTCATTTCAAAGTGTTTAAAAGCTCTATCAAGAAAATATCCGCCAAAAGTATCATAAGTAGTTAGATTTTCCAATTTTCATTACGAAACTCCGGGCCTGGTACCCCACGGGGAGAAATTTTTTAGAAAAATTCTAGTGCTTGCGCGGGAAAAGAGGCGCAAAGTGAAGTGAAGAAGGCGAAAACGTGAATTTTTCCCAGTATTTCTGTGAAAATTTCACAGAAGTCCCCAGAAATTTTACCAGAAATACCAAGAAATTTTACCTTAACAGCACTAGAATTTTTCACAGACGGTGGATTATGATTTTTTCCAGTACTCGTACTAGAATTTTTCTGGAAAATTTCTCTCCGTGCATGTATAAGCCGAATTTTCAGAAAAACATGGCAACTTTGAGCTTGAATACGTAATTGAGGGTAACACTGAACATAAAAAATCTCTCGAAACTTCTTCTAGTATACCGTCTAGATTATTCTTGATTTTTTTCAGATTTTTCCTAGATCTTTCAAATTTATCATTATATGGATTTATGCTGGTACGGTATTATTCAACAGCATTCGTAACTTTTGCGCGACCAACGGAGTGTTAAGGAAACTGACACGATGTATGAGGTAATTGGAAGATAAAAAAGAATGACAAGGTGAGAATGTTGCTGAGAATAATCTGAAATAATTGAGATAAAGAGAGTCATGAAAACTCGAGTACAAAAATCCTGTCTGCGATTACAAACACGATATGGTTTGAAAAATAGTTTTGAGTAGCAGAAAAATTGTCTACTGATACATCTACTGGATGTGGCCATTTACTCTGAAGAAAAGTATTATTTCAGTAAAGTTTAACTGTTGTCGCTAGTAAAATCTTATTCAAATTATAAAATTCGCTTGATACTTCGCTTGGACACTCTACTTAGGTTTTCAACGAATATATTCCAAATAATAAGGATGATAAAAATTCCGCCTCATGGTCATTCAGCGGTGACCACAGCCAGTTACTCGACGAAATGAAAAGACAAGACACGCTTTACCTAAACTACCTAGATTTCGAACACAAGGAGGAGGGGAAATGGCTACTTTTGCCTTTTTTTCGAAATGATAATAATCCATTGAACTATTGTTGAAATGAGATAATTTTCTCCCATGAAAAGTACAATCTTTTCATCTTTTATGACGAACCTAAACTGAGCTCTCTTGACAAATTCATTTCTGAGTTATAAACATTAGCAATAAAAAGTTGAAAGTTTTTCTTGTACCCCAACCTCACCTACTTGTCCCTCCTCAAAGCATATTTTCATTTAAAAACTGAAAAGTTGTTTAGAGTCACGCACGGAAATCGTTCCTAACACAATTCAGCAGCGAAGTGGTAAAACGGTACAAGTCAATTTTGACCATTGACGAGTTGTCAATGAATATCTCAGAATCTGAGGGAGATGTCAAAATTTTTATTATAACCTTTTTTGTAGAGCAGATGGAGAGCTATAACAAATGTAATTACGAAAATTACGGTATCCCCTTTAGATTCGGAAATATTCCCCAAAAACTCAACTGGGAGATAAGTCGACTTGAGGGGTAACGGAAGCCGTCGCAAAAGTTTGTTTTTTCAACACATTTTTCTCCGATTGTGTCCAATATAAATGGCTGAAATTTTCACCAAGTATTGAGGGGAGGCTAAGTGTTGTCCTTTATCTATTATTTTTCAGATTTTTGCAAAAAAAAATGTAGAAAACTTAATGACACAGCTGATGCTAAAAAATAATAGATGGACGACAACGCTTAGACTCCCCTCAATACTTGGTGAAAATTTCGGCATTTATATTGGACACAATCGGAGAAAAATGGGCTGAAAAACAAACTTTTGCGACGGCTTCCATTACCCCTTAAACAGTTTTACCAGTTCGCTACTGAATTGATTCAACTGACAGTCAATCATTGTCAGTGTCTTCTATAATCATTGGTGTTCAAGGGAAAATATGACTACAGAGTCTTGGTCTTTCTCTTATCTTTGACCGACAAACGGATGTGAAGATGAATTTTTATTGAATGAGTGGAAGCGGCTGGAACAATGCTCTTATTATTCTAAAGAATGTTTCTTTCTTCATGTTTCAAAGTGGAGAGAATATTAAAACAACCTCCCAAATAGGGAATGAGAATCCAATGAAATTATTCACCTGGGGAAAACAACAGATCCTTCCTCGATAGCATAAATAGTAACATCCACCGGGGTTAGATTCTTCAGGTACTCAAAAAACTCGGGCTCCACAGACTCCGGCATTGTTGTCTTTAAGTATTCAATATCTACAAACAACCAACCAAAACCCTCACAACTATGAATACGGATACAATACAACGGATACAACAGATACGGATACAATAGTTGAGAAAGAGTTGGAGAAAGAATCTCGGAAAATTTTACTGTCTGAAGGGTAATGATTTTTGCCTCTACATTGAGGCAAAAGGATCTAGAACGGTATTGCAGGATATCCAAGTATTTTGGCAATTTTTTCTATGAAATGTTCAGTGAAATGCTTTTCTACTTTTGTAGTCGAACATCAGAGCTTTCATTTACGCCTCATTGGACCCTAAGTTTCCGGACATTTTACAATGATTTTATTATTTAACTTTGTAGATCTCAATTTGAATCTCAATATTGAGCTGTTAGAAAACATTTTAAAAATCTGAAAAAACAGGAAGTTTACTTTTGGAGGATGATGAAATAATTGAAGAATTGCACTTTTTGAAAATCACGAGCATTTTCTATAAAATACCTTCTAAATTAATTTTCCACCATAAAAATCATTTGTTCGGAGTCGTAACAAATTTATTCATATTCAGAATTTTAACAGAAATCGATTTTATGCCGAAAAAAAATAAGATTTCCGAAACTTTAAACGATTTCCATTATTTATTTATAAACAACCAATGTTTAAAAAATGATAATTCTGTGCAAAATTTAATTTGAATGACTCTAAATATTCATGGTTTTTTCAAATTTTTGTCTCGCAATTTAATTGACACATTTAATGATTAAAAATGGTTGAATCTATAGTGTGGTCAGTACCTGTAAACAATACTTGGATGTCCTTAAAATGTAATTGTTCATGAAATTCCGGATAAATTTTACCACTTCAAAACGAATTTTTCGATAATCAGCTATTTTTTCGGAGCATGTGGAGAAAATTCATCATTCGTCGCGCATTTTTTACCTCTCCATTGAGGCAAAAAGATCTAGAACGATATTTTACTCCACGATTACTTGATTTTTAAGGATATCCAAGTACTTTGGCAATTTTTTCTCTAGTGAAATGCGTTTCTACTTTTGTAATCGAACATCAGAGTTTTCATTTCAGCCCCATTTGACCCAAGTTTCCGGACATTTTACAATTATTTTCTTATTTAAACTTTGCAGGTCTGAATTTGAATCTCGATATTGAACCGTTAGAAAATATTTTAAAAATCAGAAAAAAATTAGAAAGTTTACTTTCCGATAAAGATTGATGAAATAATTAAAAAATTGCAATTTTTGAAAATTACGAGCATTTTTTATAAATAATTTATAAACAATCAATTTTCCGCCATAAAAATCATTTGTTCGAAATCATAAAAAATTTATTCATATTCAGAATTTGATCAGAAATCGATTTCATCCAGAAAACTGAGATTTCTGAAAGTTTAAACGATTTCCATTATTTATTTATAAACAACCAATGTTTAAAAAATGATAATTCTGTGCAAAATTTAATTTGAATGACTCTAAATATTCATGGTTTTTTCAAATTTTTGTCTCGCAATTTAATTGACACATTTAATGATTAAAAATGGTTGAATCTATAGTGTGGTCAGTACCTGTAAACGATACTTGGATGTCCTTAAAATGTAATTGTTCATGAAATTCCGGATAAATTTTACCACTTCAAAACGAATTTTTCGATAATCAGCTATTTTTTCGGCGCATGTGAAGGAAATTCATCATTCGTCGCGCATTTTTTACCTCTCCATTGAGGCAAAAAGATCCAGGACGATATTTTACTCCACGATTACTTGATTTTTAAGGATATCCAAGTACTTTGGCAATTTTTTCTTTAGTGAAATGCGTTTCTACTTTTGTAATCGAACATCAGAGTTTTCATTTCAGCCCCATTTGACCCAAGTTTCCGGACATTGTACAATTATTTTCTTATTTAAACTTTGCAGATCTGAATTTGAATCTCGATATTGAACCGTTAGAAAATATTTTAAAAATCAGAAAAAAATTAGAAAGTTTACTTTCCGATAAAGATTGATGAAATAATTAAAAAATTGCAATTTTTGAAAATTACGAGCATTTTTTATAAATAATTTATAAACAATCAATTTTCCGCCATAAAAATCATTTGTTCGAAATCATAAAAAATTTATTCATATTCAGAATTTGATCAGAAATCGATTTCATCCAGAAAAAAATGAGATTTCTGAAAGTTTAAACGATTTCCATTATTTATCTATAAACAACCAATGTTTAAAAAAATAATTCCGTGCAAAATGTACTTTGAATGGCACTAAATATTCATGATTTTTTTCAAATTTTTGTCTCACAATTTAATTGACAAATTTAATGAATCTGTAGTGTGGTCTGTACCAAACTGTAAAAGATACTTGGATATCCTCAAAATGTAATTGTTCATAAAATTCCGGATAAATTTTACACGTGGAGAAAATTCGTCATTCACTGAGGCAAAAAGATCTAGAACGGTATTTCGCTCCACGATTGCTCGACTTTTAAAGTAACTTCTCCTCAATATTCCTCTCCATGCATTTGACCTTGAAAATCCCTTCTCCACTGATAATTACCACTGTCAGAATATCGAAACTTCTCCATGAACTTCAGACACTCCCCCAGTCCGGCAAAAATGGTAAACTCCCCCCTGAACGGATTTTTCCTGAAGAACAAATCAAAGGTAGTGAAATCATCCATTTTACCGCCTTTCCAGTAAGCATAGGCCATAGTAATCTGATAAAGATCTGAAACATCAAAACAACAGTTGCTCAAGCTCTTTTACGCGTCAATTGTCTATGATTAATTCAAGGCTGACGTAAACTCCTCGTGCATTTCTATAATTAATTCCAACGAATCACGATTATGATGTAATGTCATTCAATCCATGCATTAATGATAAGTTATCAGGAACTCAGACTAGCCGGCTATCATCAAAAATCGTCGCAGGAAGAATTCAAGGTTATCTCACACCCTCAAATAACACAGCCCCCCTCAATTGTCCAACAAAAACGTTGAAGAAGCCTTGAAATGTGTGAAAAGAGGTTCTTTCGAGGCAAAAAAATCGTAAAAATTCACAATCACTTTTTGGAGGTTAAATATTTAAGAATGAAAATTGTTACCAGTGAGGAGAGGCTGGACAACGCCATTTTGTTGCGTACCACCCGAGAGTCTCTCACTTTCATTCAACATTTTTGTAAATAAACAAACAACGTAACAATCGAAATTCACGGGAGTTCAAATCCTCAACAAGTCGAACAGTGCAATTGTTTTCGGGAGAGGTCGGGACTGATTGAGAGTCGCTAGATGGCAGCTCTCACAGTTTGAATTATTCGTTCTCGCTCCCGACGAAATCAACAGTTCGACTCTTTCGAATCAACTAACGTGCATTTGGAAACATCACGCAGTTATATTGGTAATGTATATGCGTCCCTCGCTTGACTGACGCCGGACTCTGCCTCTCCCTTCGCCGCGCAACGTTGGAGGCCGCGTGGGGGAATCGCAGAAGATAGAAATTTCAGGTATGTTATCTTAGATCCGATCAATTAGCCCCTCATGTATAGATATTCCAAATTTTTATTTTTTTCCTCATTGAAGTAGTTTTGAAGAAAATTGCGAGCTAATAAAAAACATTTGCTAGTTAGTACTTTTTTTAAAATAAATTTTTGAAAAATCACCTCTGAAAAAAAAGGCGTTCCCCTCTATTTCATTATTTCCAAAAAATTTTATCACCAATCGATAGCAAATTGTTTGAAGATTTTTGCGAGTTGAGAAAAAATCGTCAATGCACTCCTATTATTGTGTAAATTAACAATTCCAATTTCAACTGAAAACCAGAGTTGATGACCAGAGTTTGTAACAGAGATGTCAGACAAGATATGAATGTTTTTTTTGGCTCAAATGAAAGAGCGGCTCGAAAAATGGCGTGCAGAAGTCTTTAAAGATGACAAATGTCTCTAAAGATGATGTCTGTTTTCAATTGAAAAGCGCAATTGGGACAACATTGTCCAGTGGGGTCTAGGAGTCTCCCCTGGTTCAAAACCATCTTTAGAGGCCCTAGCACGCCATTTCTCGACCCGCTCGTTCATTTGAGCCCAAAAAACATTCATATCTTGTCTGACATCGCTGCTACAAACTCGGGTGTACAACTCGGGCTTTCAATTGAATCGATAGGTCTACGGACGGCGCGACTAAATTTTTCAAGTTATTACACTGGGAAAAATCTATTTTTGATAAATATCCATTTACTTGCAGAGAAGTATTTTTTTTTTAATCCTGTATTTCTCCAGTCGAATCAGTCCCTGGCGATCCTCATTGGGTTGCAATTGTATCAATGATATTCCTCTAGAAGATGATCATGTTAGTTATGATCTTGAGTGAACTCCCTCAATAATTATCGACTTTAAAAAATTCATCGAAATTCTTCTCTCTAGGAATTAAGAAATTTAGGAAAAAGGAATAATCATTGGAGGAAGTCAGCCAAGGTCATGTGTAACATATTCATCCTCTAGATCAACATGATTGTTATCATTAAAAAGGGCAAAATGTTGTTTACATGACACCCTTATTTTCCAATATTTCTTTCATCGTTTCTCCAAGAATAATAATATTTATCTGATTATCTCTTGAAAGCAAAGTAAAATTTCGTAGTACATTAGAGTTTTTCATTGGTAACCCATGTGATCACATCATCGCCGTATAGCCAAAATGGCGTCAGTGCCATCATTTCGATTTTTTTTTCTTCAAAGCCAAACGGGCGTATGTTTTGTTAATTCTGAAATTCAGATTTACCGACTTCTTCCAATCTTTCACCAATTAATTTTGATAACAACTAATGGGCGTATCTCCAAATAGTGAGAACAAATGGGGTGTATCTCCAAGACATACGTCCGTTTACTTTTAGTCTCTTGGTTGATATTCTACTGGATTTAGAGCATGAATAACGGCAAAGGGGCGTAAGACTAAATAATCAGAATTAAAAAGGCGCATTTTCAGCACATGCTCTTCATCAATTCATCGATTGTAGTGTAGTCTCTTTAAGGGATAACAGAATGCCGCAAATTTTCCAAATTTTTGAACAAATTTCCTGCCGAAAGTTATCGATCTTTTTACAAATCAAGGCACAGTAATCTCCAGGCGCGCGTCGATGAAGATCAATGTGCTTTGGGTTCGAAAAATATTAATAACTTTGAACAGAAATTTTTTTTGAAAATTTCGAAGAAACGATGGCTTTTCTGTTACCTTTTAAATAAGATCTGAATAAGAAGCTACTTCACGACGATTCCGAAATATCTTTACGGATTGGATGGGAATGAAGAGTTATATCAGTTACTGCTACTACTTTATTGGTACACGCGATTTTTTATCTGTTTTGGAAGGAAATTTAACCCTAGTCTGGTCACCTGACGGGAAAATGCGACTTTAGTCACCTTCGCGGGAGAGTGCCGCCGTGTTACTTTAGGCTCCAACGTTGCCGAATCCACTCTACACTTCCGGGTGCGTTTAGCGAGTTCCCAGCAACGTCGCGCAACAGGCAAACTTCATTTAACGCGGGAAAAAATTGTTCACCTGTTGGAAATAATTTTTTTTCTCCCAGAAGTTAAGAGTACAATATTGAAAAAAAAATACTAGAATTTTCCAGACACTTCAATTGACAAATTCAATTTTTCTCAAATTTTTCCGGTCAACCAGTCGATGGCAAGGTGAATAAAACGACGTGTTGCGGCAATTCCCTCGCATGGTGACCGGTCTAGGGTTAATATTGGCATAGTAGGGAGCAGAGCAGCGGTGACAATCCATTTCGTGCATTTTTTAAAGTCTTCACTTGCGATGGACATTAAGAATTAAGACTGTTCATTAATAGAAGATGAATGGAACAGCAACAGGAAAACTCAGTAGTTCGCGGAGACAATTATTTGGTGAATTTCAACAACTAGTTAGTGGATTTTCTCCATGTTGAACGGATTGTTGAAGAATTATTTCGATCTCTTCATCATTTTTCTGACATACGGAGTGACGTCGAGAAAATTTCTATACGATTTTTTCATATACGTGAGTCTATTGTCAGAATTTAGTAATTCAATAATTTTTATATCATCGCATTCCCCATTTTCTATTCTATATCTGCCTAAAATTTGCAAACAAGGTGCTGACGTCACCCTGTACATGCCCTTTTGAGATAGCGAGGAAATAATAAACACGTAATCGTTCACATATTTCTCCTCTTTCATCATTCTTCTATAAATGAACTAGTATTTTTTTCAATTCCTGTAGTGAATAAGCGTGCGCGGAGAAAAAAGAGAGAAAAATTACCAAACAAGTCAACTAATGGTGGAGCGGAATCCATTTCTAGGCCTTTTTCATCGTAAATCGGTGCCAAAATTGCGAGACGAATACACGGAGAGAAATATTCAGTAAAAATTACGGAAGTCACAATTCACTCACCGAGTACGGAATCGACTCAGAAAAGTTAAGTGAGGGCCTCGTAATTTTTCACAAGAGATTTTGATAAAAATTACGGAACGCTCCGAAAAAATTCCGTGACAGTTCCGTAAAATTTCCTACACCCACATTTCGCTCCGGAATTACGGAAAAGATACGTAATTTTTATTGAACATTTTTCTCCGTGTAGTGAATTTTTCTCCGATGGCTCGGGAAATTTACTAGACGAGAGGGTAATCTGTGCCGAAACTATTAAATTTACCATTTATTCCATCAAAAATTATCCCATGAAGGAATAATTGCTCAATATTGCGTAATCGTGAATGATTACGCAATAATGAACAAAATTTCAATTTCGTCCATCCCCGTGTCCTTCACCTTCATCGGAGCCTGAAGAAAATGCCCTACCGATGCGAGAAATTTTATCCCTGATGAATCAAACCCAGAGTTAACTTTGGGTTCATGGAAATTTCCCAGAGTTTCTCTCTTTCTTCGCTGGGTTTTTTCCATAAATCTAGAGTTAACCGAGAGTTAACTTTGAGATTGTATTGATCTATCAGGAATTGTACAGGCAACAGTATTTTGTGCATCAATAGATGTAATGTTTAACAAACGAATCGTAATATATCTTCCGCAAAACGTATTTTTTATTAAAGCACAATTTCAAGTGATGGGATCATTCGAGCATTCTTATTTATATATATATCGACTAGTACCAGTTCATATTTATCTCTAGATGTATAGTAGTAAAGTCAAGGCTTCATGTTGATTGCAATTCGCCAACAATGCAGAATCATCATTCGTACTTCGTAGTCAGTTAATTAGTGAGTATCGCAGGAGTTATTGTATGAAGAAAAGTGAAAATTTGAAGTTTTTTTTTGATGTTCTGCATATGATATTCATCTCGAATTTTGAATGGAAATTCATGAAATATTCAGGAAATTGAATCATTGCCAGTACTGACGGCTTTTTTTTCAACTAGAAAAATTATCAGAGTGTTGAAAATTATATGAACATAAAAATTCTCTTTTGATGGAGAGTCGAATAGTCGAGATTTTGATAGAATCAAAAAGCTATTAGGAGAATTCCTTTAAGCCAAGATTAAATCGCTTATTAATGATTTTTTAAGTTATCTCTGGAGGTCTTAGAGACTTCTGGAGGTCTCTGATAAATTGAGTTTTAATGTAAAGAAAGTTCTTGAAGAGAACTTTATTCACAATTAGGGAAAAAGTGTATGAAATTCAATATATCCTCTATAGGGCAATTAAACAAATATTTAGTTGCACTGTTAAAAATTTTTGTCTGAAATTTCCGGTACACTTTATGGAAATTTTTATAATATTTGATTATCACTGACATTTTAAGGAGTTTCGTCATTGAAAACTCAGGATTTCGTGGAAAAATCAAAGAGAACTGTAAATTTTAGTTCCATTTTTTCCTGAAAATGAATAGCAAACCAGGAAATTCCGGTAAATATATTCTTGAATTTTCAGGACAGTGACACTGAATGCGATTTAGGGGGAAAAATCATGAAATTTCAGATTTCACTGAAAATTCAATGTAATTTAGCATTGAATATTCATATTAGATTGGAAATTCAAATAAATTGAGGGATTCTTGTCTTTATGCTGCTTAAAATTCTGGAATCTTACTGAATTTTCAGTGAACCTTGAAATCTCGTGATTTTTTTCCCCTAAATTGTATTTAATGTCACTGTCCTGAAAATTAGTAATCAACTGTCCATGAAATTTTATTTTTTTTCTAAAATCGATTCAAAAATCGAGAAATTCGAAAGGAAGATCCAGAGATTTTTTTTTAACTAATAATTAGAGAATAGTCATCATAGTTTCCTTTTTTCTCCCCCCCCCCCCCACAAACCTTTGGAAGATGCGGCGGAGTTTCTTCCAAAATTTATGGCAAAAAAATCACGCGATTGATAATTATCTCCCCAATGAATATAACTACTCAATGAATCGATTATACATAAATGAATTGTTCATTAAAATCCAATTGTCAATCACTCAGATCGGGGAATTATACGGTGGATAATGGGACGTCAGTGCGTCGAACCATTCGATTAAACAAACGAGTTGTTCAGGGCAACTGCCGCATTATTGTGGTATATGTTCTTATGATGACACCAACCGTATTGGCACTGAATTTATTAGATAGATGAGCATTACAAACAAATGAGCGCCTGAATAAATACGTTGTGGAATCTGGATTCATTGACTTTTAATGGCACTCAGAGCATATCAGACATTATTATCACTCCGTGATAACGATTTTTTCTGATAATGGATGATAACGTATGTCACTCGGTGCATCAGACATTATTGTTGCTTCCCTGATAACAATGTTTTGCATTAATAAACGATGAAATACATATCCACTTACATCATATAAAAGCTTTCACTCGATGTGTTGCAACAGCTGCATCATGAACGATAATGAATTATAAAATGCTAGATATTGGCTTCTGCGGTCATTCGCAGACTCGAAGGATGTTGAAGGAAAGGGTCTAAGCGGAGAGAAATCTCAGCGATGGAGTGAATTTATTGCCCGATATTTCGACTCCCTCTGCGGAGCCCACGGAGAGAAATTTTTTAGAAAAATTCTAGTGCTAGCAGGGGAAAAGAGGCGCAAAGTGACGGCCAGGAAAAAATTTCAATGCCGGCACTAGATTTTTTTTTGGGAAAACGTGAATTTTTCCTCGTATTTTCTGCGAAAATTTCACAGAAATCGCCCGAAATTTTACCTCAACAGCACTAGAATTTCTCACAGCATCAACAATTTCTCTCCGTGCATCACCAGAGGCGTATTTATTGCGTAAACTATAAGATGGAAACGAAAATCCGAAACAAACGTAATCGGTAAAACATTCATAAAATACACCGGATATAATTCAGTAGCGAAGTGGTAAAACGGTTCAACTCGACTCATCTCCCAGTTGAGTTTTTGAGGAATATTTCGGAATCTAAGGGAAATAGGAAAATTTTTGTAATTACATTTGTTGTAGCTCTCAATCGGCTCTACAAAAAGCTTATGACAAAATTTTTGCTATCTCCCTTAGAGCCCGAGATATTCGTTGAAAACGGGTCAATAGTCAAAATTGTCTTGTACCGTTTTACCACTTCGCTACTGATTTCTTCGTGATAATAAAAAAGAATAGTATATTTTGATACGAGTGCTTAATAGTATACAGTCGAGGCTTCATATAAGATACCTCTCTATAAGATACGTCGAGCTCCGAGCGCTCGAGGCCTACCCCCACGCTTGGCACTTTCCTCGTCTTCCGAATGTTTAGTTCCCTAGACTTCTTATAAGATACCTATGGCCTCGATCATTTTGCAACGGGAAAGAGTGCTTATAAGGATCAAACGGAGTTGAAGGTCAAATAGAGGGGACGAACGAAGTGATCATAAGGGTCAAATGACCTTACGGGTCAAGAGTTTAAGGGTGCCAAGTGAATTTGGCGATGACCTTGAAAATTGACATTCACCAACAAAGTTATAATTTTTTTAATTAATAGTATTACACAGATGGTGAACATCGGTGACAATTTTCAAATTTCAGTACTTATGGATATCGAGAAATTAAATAAACAAAATCAGTCTTATACACGGCCTCTTATGGAGTTTTGATTAAATTGAACGTTTCAATCCCCTAGGAACTCAAGAAAAATTTGAAAAAATTTGAAGATATGGGGAATGATGTGTTCAATGTGATGGCGACAAAAAACAATGGGGTACCGGGGTGAATAAGAGAGATATTTCAACCCGCCGTACCCATTTGATCCCATGCTTTCTCGAGGTTCGTCACGCGAAATAGAGGATTTTCCGCATTTATTTTCTCGATGTCTAGTTCCGGTTGCGGGTTTGAAATTTCGTCGGATGGATGAATACATATTTCTCCAATGATGGAGGGAAAGAAAAAATTTTTTTTGAATCTTTTTTCAAATTCACTTGGCACCCTTAAACGTGATAGTCAAGTGAAGTAATCAGGAGGGTTAACCTCTCACGTACGGGGTCGATGTCATGCATCGACCCATGAAAATATGAATGACTCTTTGAAATTGATTATTTTCAAAACTGTGGAATTTAACTCAACCAAACAAATAACAACGAAAAAAGGAATACTGTAGCTTCAATAACATATCAGTTTCATAATTTTCCGTTGATTAGAAGTCATTGCATTCTAGTGGTATTGAGCGTACTCCACGCTTAGAAGCAAGAGCCCCGTATGTGAGGGGTTAAACGATCTCTAGGGGCCGTTCTTTTCTTCGATGCTACAATCATTAAAATGACGACGCAGAGTTATCTTAATAGAATGAAGCCTAATTAAAATTCTATTAATTTACGGATTTTCACTAATTGGTACTTTAGCAGTCTAGAAGTGATTATTCTCAAGTCCCCCAACATCAGCTGCCATTCTATCACGCGGGGTTATGTTTAGAGAGAAAAGGAAATGCGGGCTATACGCATTCAAAACATTAAACTCGTATAAATTGATTAGTTATCAATATACATTCAGTGCCCGACAGCCTGGCGCAGTCGTTAAGGTCGTAGTATTATTTGCCGATTTCTGGTCCCGCATAAAGACATAAGAAACGTCAAAGACGCAGATGGACAGCTCCACATAGACACATGCTCGTCAAACTTCGTATTTTTACATTTCAGACCATTCTACATCATTTATAAACAAATTTTAAAAATCTAAAAATAGAAGGATTCCAACGCTTCCATTCGGAAGTAGAAATGTTATGCGTGATTGAAATATAACAATTTGGAGGTTTAAAATCAACAATTTTGTATAACGAAAAGGGTAAATGAAGTAATGGATAGGTTTCGAAATGCATTGGGTAATTAAAATCGTTTATTCTCACATTTAATGGTGCTAAAGTTCATTTTCATCGACGATAGGTTATTGGTAGTACAATTGGCACATATTTCATTCGATGGATTTCTCTTTGATTACCGTGGAATTTACTCAATGGACATTACTCAATTTATAGACTTATTTTTATTGACATCCCTAATGAACTAGGCTACTCAGACTTATTTTCTTACTACGTGATGTTCTTTCTAGCTCCTCAGTCATTCATGTGATTTGCTCTACCATTTATGTACGCACTCACGTAATCAATATTACTATTCAAAATTCATTGCTCACAGTGCATAATCACTGATTTTTTTATTCCTTTTTTGACAATCTACTTTGACACTTATTCTCGTACAGTCTTATTACCATCGTTTACATTGACATTGATTATTGTTTCCATCATCTACCATCGACCTCAATTAATTTAATTCCATTTGCTCTTTTCTACTCTCTATCTCCATTACTTTTACTTTCCACTAAAAACATGGACCTTGTCTATCCATTGACTAGAACAAAAATAATCTATAAAAAATTGAAAGAATAAATTCGGCGGGAATAGTACTTAATTTGGGCTTTTTTAAAATAAAAACGTCTTCTTTGCTTGTAAATAATGCAACAAATTAACAATTAACCAATTGATTGAATTCAGTGATCCCTGATTTATCACAGACCTATTTTTATGCAAATAATCTACGATTATCGAATTTAGCAATGATTAATCTTCAAATGGGTCAAGTCACCTCATACTTTAATAATAACTGGAGGTCCACTATTTCTCTCCAGCGTCACTCAATGAGTGATGCTCAGGAAAAACGAGCAAGTTCTCAAACACGTCTTGTTTGGGCCAACAAAATCGTTAGTTGAAAATTACCACAAAAATAATTGTTTATTTCGAATTTGAAAGTCGCAAACATGAATAATTGCTCTGCTGTCAATAACAACGAAATATTTGGCTCAAGAGGCAGATAATTCATACAAGACGATGTCTTTTCAGGATTCAAATATCTTATAGAAGAATGTTTATCAAGAAATATTTTGTCCCTAAGTTACAAGATTGCTGTCATATCATTATTATTATTTAATTTGAGAATTCATTTTTTGTCTGTGATAATTGAATAGCCGAAACTACACAATACTATCCCTCGTTTCGTCAGTCTAATTAGGAAGAACGAGGTCAGATTAAGGGTCACAAGGGCCAGAATGAAGGTCATCCGAATCTAATCCAAATCGACTTCTGGTGATGAAAATTTGATACTTGAAATTAAGACTCCAAAATTAAGGGTCAGAAATGAAGAATTCAAAAAATTTCAGGCGGCTGTATCTTCGATACAGCTGTAATTGTATGTGGATACGTCCATGGTCTTTCCTTCCACGGACGAAAAAATATAGAAAAACCTATCGAATTCGTTAGAAAATTCTATTGAATTTCTATTGAACTGTTCTATTAGTTTTTGGCCGATTCTATTGAAATGTTCAATAGAAAATATTCAGTAGAAAGAGTCAATAGAATTCAATTTCCTATATAACTTACTCTGTTGAAATATTTTCTGTAGAATTTCCTCGGCTCAAAGTTTTTTCGTTTGATTTTCTTGATGAGAAGAAAAGAAAAATAGAGTGAAAAAAACTTAGAAAATTTGAGTCGAGTATATTCTATAGAAAATATATGAAAAAAATATGTTATATAGAAGAATCGAATTCTGTTTACTTTTTCTATTGAATTTTTTTGTGCGTGTCTTTCTCGAATTTCCTAGAAAGTCCAGAAATACTAATGTTCTTTCTTGTTTGTAGTAATGTTCTTTCTTTGAATTTTCTCGAATTTTCTAGAAACTCCCTGAACTTCCTCGAAATTTCTCGAAACTCCTTGAATATTTTCGAAATTTCAAGAAACTGCTCAAATTATCTCGAAATGTTTAGAATTTTCTAGAATTACGATAGATGGTGCTGCACATAAGAATCGTTTCTCAAAATGACCCCCGATATTGAAACCATAGACGTATCCACGTCAAAAACCAAGAGTTCAAAAACTAGAGGTCACAAGGGTCAAAATAAGGCTCACGAGGGTTCTAATAAGGGTCAGAATAAGGGTCAGGGTGTCCTATATAGCAAGAGGCGTAGCCCCCTAGGCATATAAAATGAGTATTTGCCAGGAGCAAAATACGTATGAATAACGTATTGAAGAACGAGAAAGTAGTTCTAGAAATAACGAGAAAGTAGCACTAAACTTTTTTTGAAAAGACTAAATCTATTTTTGCTACAGAAATTTTCAATCTCGGTGCACGCCTCGCATGTTTGCCACAAAGAACTCTTTTTATCGTTTTTAACAAACGATTTATTTGGCACAAGTAAGACTTGTTTGAGAACTCTCCTGTTTTTATCTCCGTGTACTATGAAAAGAGGTATCCCGTCTTTTTCTCTACGATAATTAGTTCTTGAGATATTCGCAAAATAATCAATTTGAAATCTTCCAAAATCGTTCGTGAAACCTTGCTGTAAGATTTGATTGCTAAATTATCCTCGATATTCGGAGCTCATATTCCGCATGATTATGTAATTAGTAAACATTGTTCATCCAATTTGGCTTATTTCATTACTCATGTAAAATTCTACTTTAAACAGTAATCGGAGGAGTCAAAGTTTTTATCTGAACTCAGAATGCAAAGAAAAATTGCCTGATATGATTCATTGTGGCTATTATTGTCACAGGGATAAAGAAAAGGTTTCAATTGCATTACACATCCATCGATTTCTCTGCCTGGATTAATCCTTAGGTATTCTAGTTTTCTAAAAATATACGTTCTTCGCTTAAATTCATATTTCAACTATTTTATGACCTAAAAATACTTCGATATCACCTTTGGACTTGTGAAAGCCATGAAAACTACTTCTTCATCATTCTCTAGTTGTTTTTTATTGGCATTCATCTCATTAGATCTGCTGCTCGTTGTCTATCACGATGAACTTCACGTGGATGCATTCTTTTTCGATGCGAAAAGCAATTCCCGGAGCTGGCGAATGCCTTTGGACAGTAGGGGCATTGATATGGTCGAGCTCCTGTGTGTTGATTAATATGGAACTTCAAGTCTTGATTACGTTTGAAGGTTTTATCACAGAGGGGACAGGCATGGGGTCTGAGATCCGAGTGGGTAATGCTGTGGGCACGTAGAGTTGAATTTGTCGGGTAAACCCGGCCGCAGACACTGCAGGGGAACTGAATTCCGCCGTGGTATTCTTTGTGACGGAATAAATTCGATTGAGTTTTGAATCTGTGAAGTTCAAATCGTGAATAAGTTAACATGTACCGCAAAATTCGATAGACAGTCGTAGCGCGTTCACTGGGAAACTGTTTCGAAAATTTTGCCAATCGTTTGCCGACTAATATTGACGCAGAGAAAATTTAAAATGACCCCTTGACATTCTTTTCTAAACTACTTCCCTTCGCTGATACTTGCCAATAGCATTTTTTGATCAGTGATAAACAATATTTTTTCATCACGCTGTGCGAAAAAGTAACTTTTTAGGCACGCTTCGTGTGCCTAAAACGCCCCTTTTCCACACATTGTGATGAAAAATATTGTTCGATACTCGTGGGAAAAGTGTTTTTTGGCTCGTGGGAGGTTTATAGCGCGAGTCGAAGGCGAGTATAGTACATTTCTCGAGTGCGAAAACACTTTTCCGCACTCGTAACGAAATATACTATTCTTCTATCAAGACTCCCAATTTGAAAATTTAGGTGAATAGTTTATTTTTTAATCGACGCAGTGGAAGAACAAATTAACGCATATTTTCAACGAGAAAGTCGTTTTTATGGGTCAAGAACTGATATAAACAATTTTTTTTCTGAAAATTTACAATTTTTGCGGAGAAAAATACGTATAACATTTTTTTGTAAAATTAACACTGTAGCTGTCAGATTTAATTGAACAAAAAAGGTGGAAAAAATTCACCTCAAGGTTTTTCCCCTACTAATAAACTTACGAGGCTAAAAATTTAGGACAAATCTCTCCTAAACATGGATAACAAAGAATCAAACTTGCAGTCGAATACAAAACTTGACCCGAAATACCAAGCCGATAATTGGGAGAATCTGTCATATTTTCGTCAGAACACCGGAATCGTTATTTTCGTCACAAGGCCGAAAAAACTTTTTCGACACTGCTGCTACATTCACCTCGTGCCGAAAAGTCTTTCCGTATACTTATAAACAAAAAAGGCACAGTTCGGCCAATCGCTGAACGTAACACCACCGTCGAAAACTATTGTTCGACACATCTGAGACGGGAATTTTCAGCTCGTGTGATTGGCAGCGCCTCGGGCCGCCAACTTTACACTCGTGGAAATTCCGTCTCAATGGGATCGAAATACACTATTCTGAAGAGTGTGAAGGTTGCAGACCGATGCGAAACCGAGGAATACCATCACACGAGTCAGAAAACTTGTTTTCGGCCGAGTGACAAACATAATTTGTTTTCGCAATGTCTGTACACTGAGAAAAAAAATTACTTTTGCCAAATATCTATTTACTTGAGAGAAGTATTCATTGTTTCAATATTTCTCCAGTTAAGTTATTTCCAGGCAATCCTCATTAGGTTTCGATTACGTCAATTATATTGCTCTAGAGGATGATCATGTTAGTTATGATCTTGAGTGAACTTCTTCAACACTTATCGACATTGACAAATTAGTCGATATTCTTTCCTCTAGAAAATTAGAAATTTCGAAAAAATAAATAATCATTAGAGGAGTTTATCCAAGGTCATGTGCAGCATAGTCATCCTCTAGAGCAATATGATTGTTATAATTGAAACCCAATCAGGCTCGCCTGGGTATGACTCGATTGAAAAAATACGACTGTGAAAAAATAAATGCTTCTCTCAAGTAAATGGATATTTGGCAAAAATATTTTTTTTTCTCAGTGTAAACGGCATTTGACGCGCACGAAGTTCCCTAAAACGACGATTTACGCACCGTGTCATGAAAATAGGGGAGGGTAGGGCAAAACGGGCCGCTAGGGCAAAACGGACCATTGACAGAAAATTGGTAATTTTTGTTTTTTTTTCTTTCCTTCAAATCAGAAACACTGAATGTGTTGAATTAAAAGTGAGTTTCTTGAATCATAACCGTCACAGGGGTTTTATAGACAACAAGTGTCGTTGAACCGCAATTTGATCAGATTTTCTAATCATCTCAAACCATAAATGACTTCGAATTAGTTCCATTCGGAAGCAAAAACCAAAATTATCAATTTTCTGTCAGTAGTCTGTTTTGCCCGCCTGATCCGTTTTGCCCTACCCTTCCCTACTATTTTCTTTTTTAGTTTGATTTTATTATATATAATTATAAACCTGATACTTACATTCTCCCACAAATATCACATCCATATTTTCCTTTAGGCCTATGTGTTTCCAAGTGCACCTTCAGATTCCCTTTCGTTGATATCCTTTTATTACAAATTGGACAGACGAAACTAGAATTGCCCCCAAATCCACTGGAATTATCAGAATCATTATTGGGGACTAGAACACCGTTGTTAGAGTGAATGTCCTTCGTAATACTCTCTTGGAGTGATTTATCATATTGGTAATCACGATTAGCCCTTGGTATATGCGACCAAAGATGATTTTGAAGGATAAGTTGAGAGGAAAATGTTCTAGAGCAGATTGTGCAGTCGTAAGTCTTCTGGTTCGAGTCGTTCGATGGTTCTTGGTCCTCTTGAGATCTTACTGAATTGCCCCCGTTTATTCTATGACGTATTTCTGCATCTTCACACGAATCTCTGGGGAATATCAATGAATATACAATGGAATAATTCATTTTAGACATTATTCGATCAATCGGATGCAGATTATTTTGTCTATAGCTTTAAAACTAATGAGAGAAATCTTTCTTAGTTTCAGGAGTTCTCTACAAAAAAGATTCCTTATTACATGTGTACGTCCATATGAGAAAAGCCCACTTTGTCGCATCTACGCTGAGAGAAAAACAAACGTTGTCAAACAAGTCTTGTTTGGGTCAACAATATCTCTAGTTGAAAATTGCCAAAAAATAATTTATTTGGTTTGAATTTGAAAGTCTTCAACATGAATAATTGTTCTCCTTTTGACAGCAACGAAATATTTGGCTCAAGAGGCGGATAATTCACACCAAACGGTGCCTTTTCAGGATGAAAATATCTCATATAGAGGAAAATTTATCAGCAAATATTTTATTCCTAAGTTACAAGATTGCTGTCATATCATTATTATTGTTTCATTTAAGCGTTCATTTCTGGTCTGTGATTATTAGACCGCCGAAACGAAAAAATACTATCCCTTGTTTCGTATAAAACAAAGATCTTTCGGGAGCAAAATACGTATGGGAGTATCGAATAATGAAAGAGTAATGATAAAAATGACATTTCTTACGTGTACAGAGAATGCAATTTTTTTTTAACTACTAAAGCTATTTTTGTAACAAAAATTTTTCAGTCCGGCGTACTCTCTGCATGTTTGGCACAAAAAATCATTTTTTGATAATTTTCAAAAAACTATTTTCTTGGCACAAGTAAGACTTGTTGGAGAACTTAGTCGTTTTTCTCTCAGTGTAGTTTCCGAGATATTTTCGCTTTTCTCTCCACAACTTGCACTTAAACCAATATTAAATTATTCCTTTGATCTTCTCTAACGAAATAATTTTCTACGCTATCGAGGTCTTTTTGAGTTTGAAACGTGCGGAATGAAATCAATATTATCGGAGATATGTAATTCCATATCGACAAAGCGGGCTCTTTTCACCCGCACGTCCACACATTATTCATAGCAAAAAGAATAAATAATTAAATAATAACTCTGTATTTCCTCAGGATTCTCCTCCCAAACTCACGATTTTAGAAATCCACACGAGAATATTTTCTTGCATCAAGGAAATCGTCTTTGTTGAAAATAATTTTTTCTCTCAGTGCAGGGTAAACCGGGCAATTTCTGGACGGGGGGTAGTTTCTGGACAATTTCAACTTGCATTGCATATTCCATAAATAAAATGAAAATTGTACTGATTATTTCAACTTTCAGTTATACTACTCGTGTATAATCATGTGATTAACTATTTTTTCTATTGGTTAACATTTAATAAAGAAAAAAAATTTATGGGCCAGTCATCCAGAGAAATTAGGGGTTTCGGCTGCATTCAACCATTTCTTAATTGAATTATTCTTTTTGTTATTTTCACTTCAAATAATTTTTTTTCTGTACTGCTCACGATTTCTCGTCTGGGAATTGGTATTGCATACTTCCCGAACTCGAAAACTTGAAAATCACTACAAAAAAATCTTGGCCCGGGCTGCTGCGATGGGATTTTTTTCCTCGTGTAGTTGGCCAGTCCTCGCCTTCGGCTCGGACGCCAACGCCACGCGAGTAAAAAACCCCATCGCAGCAGCCCAGAAAAATACTATTCTGCTAATTAAAACATCCTTGAAGGTATGGAACCCATTATAGCCCCATTTAGGTGATTCTTTTATTTTAGATCCTACCACGAAACTCGAATTTCCCTTAACCGTCCAGCAATTGGCATGTTCACCCTACGCGGAGAGAAATATTCAAGAAAAATTACGGAACATTTCACGTCATCCGCAAGCGAGAATCGTTTTCAGTGAATTTCTATAGGAATATAAGAGAATCAATCTGAAATGTTCAGTAAATTCTCGGGTTTGTCACCGAAAAAATACGAAAAAGTCACGTAATTTTTCTGGAAGTTGTAAAATCTAACAGAAACTTCAAGACTGATTATGCCTCAGAACATGAAAATTCTTGGATGTTTAAGAATTTTTACGAAAAGTTCCGGAAAAATTACGGAACGTTTTGTTAAAATCTCCCCCTCGCGGTGACTCATGGCTAGCCGTGAGGCGTCGGACGGATGAGTAATTTTTACGGAACAGATCGTAGAATTTACGTGACGATTGACACTTTTTATTGAATTTTACTTCGCTCCCAGATTACGTTTCGAAACGTAATTTTTACGTCTTTTTTCTGGTAATTTTTATTGAATATTTCTCTCCGTGTATAATGAAGATCCCATGATATAAACAAAATAATGAGCAAATCAGCGTTCGTAAATTAAATACAAACTTTATGTGGAGTGGTTTCTTATCGTAATCCGAGTCTTCATCAGAAACATCTGGTGATGCTGAGCACTCCAGACCACACTGAAGAAATATCATGGGGTCAACCTTGACTTCCATTTCTTCAGTGGTTGAGGGAGTCCCCTCAGTGTCCGGTAAACGCAAAGGGACGACTGAAGAGTCTGGTGAGTTTGGGGATTCTGTAATATCTGCTCCGTCCTGTTAATTACAAGAATGCAAATAATTAGTGGACATACACATTTGAGTGAATTGAACTGCATTAATTTGGAAAATTCAATGAATTAATTAATTAAATTGATTGGGCTCAATGTAGACGAATAAATAATGAATTGGGCGAAAAGTTCCATTAGCACAACATATTCAATGATTACGGCCGCTTATATACTTCATCGGTCGGTACACATATTTGCGTTTTTGAATAATTGAGTTCACATGAGACAAATAATTGTGAAGAAACAATGTTCAATTAACAAATATTGTGGTTTGCAAAATTTACTACTGTAATAGCTGTCTAGCCAAAGGGACATCATAGTCGCGCTTATACACGGAGAGAAATGTTCAGTAAAAATTACGGAACTCACAATTCGCTCCCCGATCACGGAATCGACTCAGGAAATTTAAGTGACGGTATCGTAATTTTTCACAGGAGATTCAAAAATTTCGGAACGCTCTGAAAAAATTCCGTGACAGTTCCGTAAAATTTCCTACAACCACATTTCACTCCGGAATTACGGAAAAGATACGTAATTTTTATTGAATATTTCTCTCCGCGTAGACACCACTTACGCCCCTTAGGGGGTAATGCCCCTTCGGCTTTACGACGACGATTTGATTTCTTTAAATTATTAATTGAGTCAACATGTCAGGTGATATACTTTGATTAACAAAGAATTTTTACTTGAAGCTAGAAACTTATTTCTCTGTCAAGCTGAACCCTTCCACCTGAGTCGACCGTCAACAATTCAGTCAACTCATATAAGATGGGATTTCTTTCCTCAACTCGGAAGTTTCATCTCACTGTGTACCTGCCCTTTTCAAAGATCTTGGTCAATAATTTCGTTCCCTTCGGTTTCCTCCACTCGAGTGACGATCGTCACAACTTCATTAGAACCTCCGAGGGTCTATTCACAGGCGAAATCGTGGTGTCCCTCGCTGATGTAATCAATTGTAATCTCAGTGAAATCAATGTAATCATTGCAATCACATGATTACCATATTTGTAATCAAGTTTTGGTAATCCAGTGGTAATCATTTGTAATCACTGTAATCATTTGCAATCAGTGTAATCTTTCGTAGTTGCTTCTAGTGAGACCGTGAATTTTGTTTTTGAATTTTCGCGCGCGTCATTTCTACCAACAGCAAGTCTCAGAGATCCCTGGATCAATTTTTCTTGGAATCCCAGATGTTTATGGTTTAGACCTTGCATAGCCAATGCGTTTTGCACAGAGCATTTGTCCGTAGAAAATTGATTCAACAGAGTTAAAATTTCTTTTTATTCTGGAGAACCAACGACTGAATTATCTCTGAATTATCTGCTGGTAAGTTTCATTCTCCATCAATTGTAGATATTCAGTAAATTTATTTTGCTGATAGCACTTATAAATGCCCAAATTTTTAGATGAAGTGATGGAGACTGCATTCCTCTGTTATAATTCCCGCCCCTCCTTCCTCATTTCTTTGCAGGTTCTAATAATTGATTATTCCATCAATTCATATTTAATAAGAGGCCATTTTTTGTGATCTCAATGATTACAGATGTTTGATAATCACAGAATGTAATCGACGAAATCATTTGTAATTATGTAATTACATTCTGTGCTCTTGGTAATCACGGTTATCGCATAGGCAATGGTAATCAGTCCCATAGTCCTGGGTAATCGATTACATTTTGTAATCGCGGTGTCACCCAATTCGCCTGTGAATAGCCCCTCCAGAAGCTCCCTTCAAATCAACTCACTTTGTTCATCAATATTGTTCTCAAAAGTCCCCTGTAACTCTTCTCACTCTCCTCAAAGAAATTCTGATCGTCCCGTTTGACGTCATCATCACCGGAAGTTCCGTAAAATTGCGATTTGAGTCTCTCCTGTGCCCTGTGTGCCATGGTGGCGAACCGATGGATTCCATCGAGTCGTCTAACGCAAGTTCCGCACACAATCTTCGGTAGCCTGTCCTCCCTGGACACCTGGAGATTAGAATAACAAATTATTAAACTTCAGTTCAAAGCCGGTGGAAATCCACTTCACTCGAAGCTTCTCCGCCATTATGATAATAATTGTTATGTGCGGTCGATTTTCCGTCGAACGTCACCAATTCCCAGGATATTTCGCTGACGCTTTTGCATCCCCTACTCCGCTACCAATACCGATGCACGGAACAATTATATTTATAGACATCGATAGTTATATTACAACAGTAGTGTAGCGCGGAACGAGAGAGGTGACGAGAAAGAAAAAAGAGGAAAGAGGTAACACGGTATACAACGCTCATAGTCGCTAAATCGATAAAATGCTAATTTTTTCACACTTTGGCTCTCGGAGGACAAAATGGTCGACCCGCTGTTAATGGAAATAATTAAATGACTGAAGATTTAGGTCTAAAGGGTTCTATAGAGTACACTGAGAACTCAAAATTCTAATATCTGAAACATATTTTCTTGAGAGAAGTAAATTATTTTCAATGGCTTAAATCTCAGAATGTGGGCACTTCACGGAACGCGAATTAATTTTCATTCATCACTATCGTTCCGCGTTGCGTCATGAATATTTTACATATTGCAATATTGGAAGTGCATAACGAAAAAATCACGAAAACAATAAAGACTAGAAGATTGACGATTTTTCTACGCGATTTAAGTAAGTTCATTTGCGACAAAATCATACTTGAGTACAAGAATATTTCAAAGCATGAGGCCTTTATCGGGTCATGTGAGTTGAGATGCCTGAGAGAATCAAGCAATTGAAGAAAATTTACTTGTCTCAAGAAAATATGTTTCAGATGTTAGAAAATTTTTTTCTCAGTGTATTTACGATGGATCACATATGACCTATTGATTCCAAGATTTTCAGATTGCACTGAGAAAAAAAAGTTTTATGATGAAGCTAAACTTTTATTAAGAAATTCATGGCTGGGGAATTGACGGGAAAGAAGTATCTTGATCTTGATCTTAACTGAGAAAGATAAAACTTTTGTCAAGAGATTTTGTACTTGTCCCAGAGACGAAGATAATTTTTCTATGATAAGAAAGGGATTTTTTAAGTGAAGTCTAATTGAATCAATTTGCTCAGTCGTTTTTAAACTTAGTCGTTTTTGCAAAAACCATTTGGTCACATTCTTGTTGTGAATAAATTATCTCTCATCTTTCAGACAAGTACAAAATCTTTTGACGAAAGGTTTATTTTCTTAGTGCGAGATATTTTCTTTTCTATTTTCGAGCCATAAGTTTTTATTCAAGTAAAGACGAACTCCTGAAAAAAAAAATTTCTCCGTGTGGTTGTGGAGTCACGAAACTATCACACCTCATTGAATATCTCCAAATCAAGAAGATCTTCATGTCATGAAAATATCTTACACTGAGAAAGATAAAACTTTCGTCAAAAGATTTTGTATTTGTCCCAAAGACGAGGCTAATTTTTTATGACAAAAAATAGATTTCTCTAATCAAGTCTAGTTGCATCAATTTGCCCAGTCGTTTTTAAGTCCAAAATCCAAAATTTTTTAATGCAAAAATCATTTGGTCGCATTCTTGTTGTGAATAAATTGTCTCATCTTTCAGACAAGTACAGAATCTCTTGACGAAAGGCTTATTTTCTCAGAGTGAGATATTTTCTTTTCTATTTTCGAGCCATGGGTTTCTCATTCAAGTAAAGACGTACTTCTCGAGAAAAAAAAATCTCAGTGTGGTTGTGAAGCCATGAAACTATTACACCTGATTGAATATTTCCAAATAAAAAAGATCGTTATGTGCATTCAGAAATCTTCATGAAATTCCGCGACATTTTCAAAAAATTCAAATCGAAAGTGAATTTGATTGTTCCGTTAGGTCAGTTTATTACCGGAAGGACCATTGAATTATTTCCAAATCAAAAAGATCGTTATGTGCATTCAGAAATCTTCATGGAATTCCGCGACATTTTCAAAAAATTCAAATCGAAAGTGAATTTGATTGTTCCGTTAGGTCAGTTTATTACCGGGAGGACCATTGAATTATTTCCAAATCAAAAAGATCGTCATGTGCATTCAGAAATCTTCATGAAATTCCGCAACATTTTCTAAAAATTCAAATCGAATGTGAATTTGATTGTTCCGTTAGGTCAGTTTATTACCGGAAGGACCATTGAACTATTTCCAAATCAAAAAGATCGTTATGTGCATTCAGAAATCTTCATGGAATTCCGCGACATTTTCAAAAAATTCAAATCGAAAGTGAATTTGATTGTTCCGTTAGGTCAGTTTATTACCGGGAGGACCATTGAATTATTTCCAAATCAAAAAGATCGTCATGTGCATTCAGAAATCTTCATGAAATTCCGCGACATCTTCTAAAAATTCAAATCGAATGTGAATTTGATTGTTCCATTAGGTCAGTTTATTACCGGAAGGACCATTGGAATATACCTTTTCATTCTAGAAATCCAAGGGAAATATTCATTTCGTGTATCGAACTGAAAAATCTTCGGAAAAATGATCAAAAACTCTGATAAATATTGACATTTAAGATAATATAGATTGGAGCCCTCAAAAATTAAGATTGATATGCAAATTCCGTAAAAGTGTCTGAAACTCCTAGGGGAATTAACATGGGAAAAAACTGTCCAAAAATCTAGTGACTCTCAGAATGAACAGGTTTATTAAAAAAAACAATGTGGATGATTTTTTATAACTTTAGTGAACTTTGCGCATTTTGCACAATATGTTCCAGCAAGAAATTCAGTTTCAAAATAATGAAGAAGAGCAGCAACTGCACAATTTCTTGATTATTAAAATATCTTTAGACCTAAGTTGAAATCATCGTAAGAAATTCTTCTAAAAGGCTCCACAATCTACTAAAGATATTCGCAAAATAATCCGTTTAAATGTGTCGCAAATTTTTTAAATATCGAAAATTACTCTGGTATTCACGTTTCACATAACTGGTTCCAACTTCTAATTTGTACATACTCACCAATACATACAAATATTTCCTCATTTTCGTCTGTAAGTAATTTCTCCTCCCCTCCTCTTCAAAAATCTGCATGCTCTCTTCCTTCCCCACTGCACTCGCACAGACTCTACACAATTCATCATCATTCTTTCTATTTGTGTCCATCTCATCAATCTTTATCCCCAAAGACGCCGAAAATTGGTGAGAAAATAAAAATCACTGGATTTTCATGGCGACGAAATGATCAATAAAATCGATTCTTCAATCAATCGTAGCGTCGATCGCACGCGATTTACCACCGCTTGTGTCATCGACCCCATTGATTTCACGCATTTCCATGTTATCTTTACTTCTCAGTTCCTCTTCCTTCCTCGAAAGAGATAAACACAGAATAAATGCGAGACTTATTGATGTTACGACCCAACGTGAATGATTAATGAATAATTTTGAAGGAAGATTTTTTAGATTTATTTGAGTCTAGACGTGCACTCGTCCGTGTTGAGCACAATTTAAGGGAGTTCATCTAACAGAATTATTCGGTATTTTTTTTAAGGTACGTTGTAATGCCTTATGGCCACTGGGATTGGTGAGATTACTCTGAACGCGGTTCTCGTCGCTTTAAAAAGTACGTCGGCGCCGGGCGTCGGCGTCTCTCTCTCTCTCTCTCTCCCTCTCCCCCGAAACGAGTGCTCAATACAAAATATATAATAGCATTCGTCGATTTGAAAAAGGTACCCAACTTTTGTATGTGTGTATTTAGGTTTATATCAGTGTGTAACGAGAGGTGATCTTGCGCTCTGGACGGGTTTGTGTGTTGGGGAAACGAATAGCTTTACCCGCAGCGTAACGCGCAAACCCCGTTGGTTTCTACAAACGTATATTACAGGGATTTTAATTTCGGAGATGGTGGATATTAATGCTTTTACATCGACAAATGTTTATTCGGTTTAAGGAATTTATATTGTTGGGGAATTTTTGGGGTTCTGAGGATTTTTGAGCTTGCAGGGGGATCGCTTAGGGGCGGTGGGAAGAAAATATCTGAGTATAAGAAGAATCCAGGATTTGTGAGGCATTCATCATGTCATTGAGACGCCATTTTAATCCGATAGTCTGGGAAATGACATCATTGTAAATAGAGATTTAATGTTTTTGTTTTTGGGAAACCGTTCCGGGATTCTTAAGGGAATTCTGGGGAAGAGGGTTAATTAAAATTTAAATCGCAATTAAATTAAATTGCTTGAGAAAAATTTGAAAAAATCATGAATGTTCAGCGTCATTGAAGTTACATTTTGTACTGAATATTTTTTTTTAACGTTCGTTGTTTATAAATAAATAGTTAAAATTGTTTAAACTTTCAGAAACCTCATTTTTTTAGGCGTGAATTCGATTTCTGGTGAAATTCTGAATCTGAATAAATTTGGTACGATTCCTAATGAATGATTTTTATGGCGAAAAATCGATTGTTGTAAATTATGTGTAGAAACGCCTCGTCATGTTCAAAATTTGCAATTTTTAAATTATTTCATCAATCTTCTTCCGACAGTCAATTTTCTATTTTTTTTTTTTAGATTTTTAAGAGGTTTTCTAACGGTTTAACATCGAGATTCTAATTCAGACCTGGAAAGTTTATATAATGAAATAATTGGAAAATGTCTGGAAACTTAGGGTCAAATGGAGCTCAAATGAAAGGGCTGATGTTCGACTGCAAAAGTAGAAAAGCTTTTCACTGGAGAAAAAATAGCCAAAGTACTTGGCATCCATTTTCAATAATCAAATTTGTTAATTGAATTGCGTGAGAAAAATTTGAAAAAAAATCATGAATATTCAATGTCATTAAAATTACAACTTGCACAGAATTATTCATTTTTTAAAAATTCGTTGTTTATAAATAAATAATTGAAATTGTTTAAATTTTCCGAAACCTGATTTTTTTAGCCATAAAATCGATCTTTGGTCAAATTCTGAATATGAATAAATTTGTTAGACTCCGAACAAATTATTTGTATAGTGGCCAATTGATTGTTCATAAATTATTTATAGAAAATGCTTGTAATTTTCAAAAATCGCAACTTTTCAATTATTTCACCAATCTTCCTCCAAAAGCAAACTTTCCAATTTTTTTTCAGATTTAAAAAATGTTTTCTAACGATTCAGTATCGAGATTCAAATTCAGACCTGCGAAGTTTAAATAATAGAATCATTGTAAAATGTCCGGAAACTTAGGGTCAAATGTGACTCAAATGAAATCTCTGATGTTCGACTACAAAAGTAGAAAAACACTTGGATATCCTTAATTTCAATAACTGAGTCATTTAATTTCGAAAATATATTATCTTCACTTTAATAAGGATAACGTAATGTTTTTAATATAAACAACAAATAAAGTGGAAAGGGTGGTGAACGAGTCTGATTTGGTTACAGATTTTAAAATGAGAATCAGCATGACGTTCCTCTGAGTTGACCGAATTAAACAACGTGAAATAATCAATTAATTCTATTCTAGAGTTGCACAGTGTGAGGATAAAAATGGATGATTGAATACTTCAGGAATTTTCTATTTCGACTTGCAACTGTCGGAGAATTATTGGAGGAGTTATTATTAACAGGGAGAATTGAAAGACATTGAAAAATTTTTATCTTCTTCATTAGAAAGAAAAAATGGCTCCTATGAATTTCGTTATTTTTCTTCGTCTACTACTGAGAAAATGCTGCAAAGCATCAAAAACGTCGGTGTTTCTTGTTCAGAATGAAAGTGGAATAGACATCTTTTCAATCCAAAATTTTCAAATTTAGGTAATTAAAAAACAACAGTGGAAAGATGTACAATTGCTGTTTTTTTAATAATTTTTCTCTGTTTCTAGTTTTATTCAGTTGAAATAATTGAATTGTCCAATTTGCACGTTCTGTTCGGCGTAATCTGAAGAGTCAAGACAGACGCTCGAATATTCTTGGAATGGCCTACTTCAACGCCCTGACCTTAAAGGTTCATCCATTCATTTACAGAAAAAATTGGAAAGAAAACTCATGCTTTAAGAAGCACGTTTTTGTTCATTTTTTTTCTACAGCGAAGTGGTAAACTAGGATAAGTGCAAAAATGTCACTTTTACAGGAGAGTTAATAAATTTAACCACGTTTGGAGAATTTTCGATTCAGGCAAAAGAAACATTTTCAAAAAAATTGCAGTTATCCTAGTTTACCACTTCGCTACAGTTTTCTTCTCTCTCATTTCATCGCATACAAATTGTTTTAAAAGCAATTTGTCCGTTCAGTTTTTCAATTTCTACCCTTCAGAAATGCCTCGACAGAATATATTGTAAAAAACGTCAAAATCATGCTCTCTATCCCTCCAGTGTATGAATTCTTTCTTTTTGTTCAATGTTAACAATTGAAAAAACATCGACAGATGGATTAAAAGGGGCTGAAGGGAGGTAGTAGTTGATTGTAGTTCTAAATACAAACCCCGGATATAAAAGAATCATTGCGGCTGGAGGTGGATACCACCCACTCGTTAAAAAAAATCAATACTTAATAATTACCAATTAATACCACCTGCACATGCGTGAGCGATTGTGAGGCATCGTTTGTTTCTCCCTTGTCTGGCGCAGGATAAAATTACACATGTGTATTATTACAACCATTTCTATCAATAATTTCTATTGAACGGAAATTGAAAGCATTTGAGTGAATTTATAAAAAATTCGATGTCTGTGCCAGGAGTGGACGCTTCTTCGAAAAAACGAAACCGAAATGTATTGGAAGGTCGCTTTTGTGGCTGAAGAAATTCCCAATTTTTTCACTATTTTTTACCAAAATCGCTCATTACTCGAAGTACTTCTGACCCACAAGATGTGAAAAATCAATTCGTTACGTAATACTACTTCCTATTAAATTGAAGAAATTTAAATCGTTGAAACAAGAGATAATCGGACTAACCTTTTAACCTTTTTAGAAATTTATAATCAATCAAATTGGAGGAAAATTTTTTGAAAAATTCTCTGTGATGCTTCATGTGGAGGGTTTCGAGTCATTATTGAGTAGCGTGGCTGACAGACCTTTGAGCCTATGGGGGAAGAATGTTGCGTTGGACGGAAGTGTGAAAAGGGTCGAGGATGAGGCGTTGAAGGGCGACCGGGTTATTGAAATAATCGGAAGAACAGAGGGAAGCACTTCCAGGGATGCTCTTCCCACTTGCATCCATTGTCCCTCGGGTTCTAATGAATTCCTCCAGACTAAATTACCAATTCTCGTTTTTGTGATAAAAAATCTTAAACGAGAAGGGAAAATTGAATTTCAGGTTTGATTATACTCATTTCTCCATGGTTTTGTGTGGTTAATTAAGAATATCCAAGTATCTTTTATTGTTTGGTACAAACCACACGATAGATTTAACCGTTTTAATCATCAAATTTGTCAATTAAATTGCATGAGAAAAATTTGAAAAAAATCATTAACCTAATCAGCGTCATTAAAATTACATTTTGCACACAATTTTTTTTTTTTAGATTTGTTGTTTATTGATAAACTATTGAAATTGGTTAAACTTTCGGAAACCTTATTTTTTTGGGCATGAAATCCATTTCTGGTAAAATTCTGAATATGAATAAATTTATTATGATTCCGACCAATTGACTTTTGAATGGTTGAAAATTGATTGTTTCTAAATTATTTGTCAAAAAAACTCGTAATTCTCAAAAATTACAATTTCTTAATTATTTCATAAACTTTATATTTTTTTTTAGATTTTAGAGATTCAAATTGAGAACTACAAAGTTTAAATAACCAAATCATTGTAAAATGTCGGGAAACTTAGGGTCAAATGGGGCTCAAATGAAAGCTCTGTTTGACTACAAAAGTAGAAAAACATTTCATGAACCAAAAATCCCCAGAGCCTTAAGGACATCCAAATGTCTTTTACGGTTTCCTACAGACCACATTCAATCGTTTTAATCATCAAATTTGTCAATTAAATTGCGTGAGAAAAATTTGAAAAAAATCATTAATCTAATCAGAGTCATTAAAATTACATTTTGCACAGAATTATTATTTTTTTAGAGATTTGTTGTTTATTAATAAATCATTGAAATTGTTTAAACTTTCGGAAACCTTACTTTTTTGGGCATGAAATCCATTTCTGATAAAATTCGGAATATGGAGAAATTTGTTACGATTCCATTTTCAAAAATTACAATTTTTTAATTATTTCGTAAACTTTGATTTTTTTTCAGATTTTGAACATATTTTCTAACCGTTCAATATCAAGATTCAAATTCAGAACTGCAAAATTTTAATAATAAAATTATTGTAAAATGCCCGGAAACTAAGGGTCAAATGGGGCTCAAAAGCTCTGATGTTCAACTAGAAAAGTAGAAAAGCATTTCATTGAACAAAAAATAACCAAAAAAGCACTTGGATATTTTTAAATATTTTTTTCTTTCATTCGAGAGGAAGTTCATCAATTTTTAGGAATGGAAAAGAAGTTAATTTGAGTAATTACCGGATTATTCCGCTAATGAGTGATTTTAGAAGTAATTATCGTTCATTTTTTCAAGGAGACGTTCTTCATGAGAAATGATTCCTGTCGTGAAGAAGGTCTCTTGACGTTTCCTCTAAAAATGAATGCATTGAGGGGATGTAATTGCTGTGTCTAGCTTATTTTCTCATTCATGACTAATGTAATCCAAAACGATCAGAAGAACATTTTTCGGGCAAATTGTTTCTATCCTCGGGAAGTTAATTAACACGCCAATAACTTTCATTCATTCAGGTCACCGATAAATTGCAATTCAGAAGAAGATTCATTTTAATAACTAACGCAATTCGAGAGAAAATTCCAAAAATCACCCCCACTACTGCTTTTCTCCCCTTCTCACTCGATGATGGCTGGAACATGCTGGAAATAGATCTTCGAAATTTATGTAAAGAAGTTTATCTCACTGACTACATCTCTTTGAACCGAATCATAATTTACCCCAATTTTCGAGTGCGGAGGATTTACCTGCAGGATCGTCACTACGAGCAAAACGAAACTCCAAAGGAAATTTTCGATACGCTAGCTGAATTTTACAAGTTTAGGAAAAAAACCATCAAGGCTGTCGATAAAAATTGTCAGACACAAATGTTAACGAGAAAAATCGTTCAGAAACCGATAAAAAAGAAGAAAAAAAAGCGGAAGAGTGAAGAAGAAACTTCAATCAACAGTTGAATCCACGAAGAAACTTATAAAAACTGATTGAATTAATGTTTTCAATGGATCATAAATGGAAATAAATAAAATCAAATATTTTCCTAAGTATAAAACACTTGTATTTTGATTATTCTTTTAACATCGAACCTCATTAACATTTAGCCTTATTTTGAATCGGTAAGAAAAGTTTAAACTCAGCCGGCAACTCGTCCTCGGAGTAGAGTCTGTCCGAAAAGTATACTCTACGAATTCTGCAATTAGCGTGAATTTGTACTCTCAGTGTCTCGACGTAATTAGTCCCATAGGCCCGTCTGGTGAAATCAGCGAGATTGAATTGTATCTGATTCCATCCATCGTCGAGTCTCATTGGCATTGTGCATATGAAGGGTTTTACTCTTGTTGTTGATTGATAGTTACTCGCTCTGAATCTTCTTCGCACGTTTTTATCGTCAATTACCTGGAAAAATGGATGAGACATAGAAAAAGCATTTTTTTAAAAATAAATATAATAATAAAATAATAATTTTTTAAGGCCGGTTTTAACTTCGGTTTCAGATTGAAAACCAGAGTTCATAGCAGAGATATCAGACAAGATGTGAGTGAAAATCTACCGTGAATCCACGGTAAAATGTACCGTGGAGCGTGCGAATAAACACTTTCTAAAAAGTCAATCCGTGAATTACACTGAATTATTTTAATTACAACTGATTAATCATAACTCCATTGAGTAGGGGAGGGTAGGGTAAAATGGACACTTGAGACTTTTTAAAAATTATTCATAACTCAGAAACAAATGTGTCAATAGAGTTCAGTTTAGGCTCATCACAGAGGGAAAGAATTGTTCTTTGTATTGAAAAAAAAAATTATTAAATTTCATCAACGTATCAACCCGTCACTCATATTTTTAAAAAAGTCAAAAGTGTCCATTTTACCCCAACCTCCCCTAAACAACATCATAACTTCAATAAACGAGCATTGAAAAAAGAGTAAAGAAATTCAACCAATACCTGAACTTCGAACGTGAAATACTTCTTAAGATTCTTAATAATCATAACGAGAAAGGGCAGTTTGATCCCAAGTGTCTTTCTGGGATCAGCTGGACAGGTGATATAAGTAGTGCTGACATTGCTCCCAAGTATTTCCAGCACTAAACTTTGGATATCGTTGTCAGTGATTCTTTTGATATGTCCGTTTCGCACTTTCTTGTCCCAAATCTGAAGAGGTTTGCTGCCGATGCTGTACAATATCGATAGAAATCCGCTTTGGAATGTGTTTTTGAACATTGCATACCCTTAATAAATACAAAATCTGGCCCAATAATGTGTATAATCACTTGTAACTCCACCAATCTGTGGGAAAGTAATGAAAAATTGATTAGAGCTCTAGTTATTGATGTTTACACCCTCTCAAGAGTCTCACGTATGTACTTACCAACGATTTTGGAGCAACAATGGAATAATCACACAAATTTTTATATCAAAAACTCAGTAAGAATGGCGAAAACCTGGTTATTAAGTTAATTTTCATGTCCACTGTTGATAACTATCCTAAAATGTGAGGTTTAAGTTATTGTTTGGTCGATCTAGCCTCTCAATCACCACCGAATTTCCATCGTGCCGAACAGTGCCGAAGTGTGGGTTGCAACTGTCACCAACTGTCACGTCCTGAACTACCCAGTAGCACAGCTGACTTGAGTCACGCTCACCAAACTTCAGACGTTAGAATGGGAGAACTAGTAGAGAGAGATGCAAATGCGTCACATGACCCGTCATATGACGGTCACATGACGAGGCATTTATGACGGCTGTCGTATTCCCTTTCCTCTTACATATGACCGTCACAATAGAAAAATTGCATGAATTTTTTTCAATTTTCTACTCTCAAGTTTCGAAATTGAATAATTCATTTTTCACTCACAAACGATCGAAATATTGCTCATTAATTAATAGTTAATTGTTAAAAGTTGAAAATTTTAAACGCTTTGAAATCGCCAATGACGTCACAGACGGTCGAGTGCTGGACCAATTAAAATGGCTCGGGCCGATCTAACTCAACTTGAGGTGCGCCTCGGCCAATGAACGATAGCTCCCCACTCTCTTCTTTTTTGACCAATGAAGCGTTACCTGTCCGTCTTCGTGATTTCAGGACCGAAAAATTAGTCACGAAAACGACAGATTTTCAATTCAGTAGCGAAGCGGTAAACCGGGTTAAGTCGATTTTTACTATTGGCTAGTTTCTGACGAATATCTCGGAATCTAAAAGAGATAGAAAGATTTTTGTCATGACCTTTTTTGTAGAGCCAATAGAGCGTTATAAAAAAAGTCATGGGAAAAATTTTGCTATCTCTCTTAGATTCCGAGATATTCAGCAAAAACTGGCTAATAGTCAAAATCGACTTAACTCGGTTTACCGCTTCACTACTGAATTAATTATCGTAAAACATTTAGGCAATATTTCTCCATAATTTTCGCTGTTTAGCTATTCGTATGTTATGAGGAATGTGTGCATAGAGGAATTAGAAAGAATTGAGCTTCATGCAAGTTCCCTATTTGCCAAAAAAATATGACAGTCATTTTTCATCTATATAAATGCAACTTCACCTTTTTTTGTATCAATTTTTTTTATTTGAAATCATTTCGTATTAACTTAATGTGTATTTAGAAACGAAAATCACGTCAATTTTTCATCCCCGCATAGAAAAAAATATAAGCCAAAACTTATAAGTGAGATATAGTAATTTTGCCGGAATTATATCTTGAATATATCCACCTTGTATATATCGGGTATATGCTAGAGATATCCGATGGCATAAAGTACAGATATATCCAACATATATCTCAGATATTGCATTGTTCCGGAAAGTATATCACATATAAGCGGATATAAGTGACATATATTTATGTATATATATATTTTTTCATGTGTACTCTATCGATGAAACATTTTTTTATTTATGACCATCACAAATTAGAAGTTAGTTATGACCGTCATTATGCATTTATATTGATGTTTTGACAACAATTTGCTTCCAAATTATTTGTGACCATCATTTTTAGTTGAAAAATCTGTGCGTCATATGGCCGTCATTTTTGGTCATATGACGCGGTCTAAAAAATATCCGTCATTTTGCATGTCTAGTTACCAATTTTGACATCGCGTCATATGATCAAAAAATGACGGTTATTTTGCATATATCTTTAGTTAAAATGAAGCTCTTACAGTAGCTTTAAAATTCTATCTGTCAAGCTGGTAACGAAGAAATTTCGCAGGAACTCCACTAGATAAAAGCGCTAATTTTAAATTCCCCGTTGAAAGTGTTAAAGCATTAAATATGATTACGAAAAAGTTTCTGTTGGATGAAGGTCCAAACTTCACGCTGGTCAGAATAGTATATTATGTCACCAGGCGATAAAAGTATTTTTCATCACGCTGTGACGAAAAGTGAACTTTTCGGCACGCTCCGCGTGCCTAAAAGTCCAATTTCCGCCACATTGTGATGAAAAATATTGTTCGTAACTCGTGAAAAAATGTTTTTTAGCTCNTTCAACTCAGCACGCCGCCTAACCCTAAACCGCGCCCCACTCGCCAAAAAACACTTTTTTGCACTCGTTACGAAATATACTATTATGTCGCGCCGTGCAATAAGTCGAGTTTATCGCACGCTACGCTTCGCGCAGCCTGCTCAAAACTCGACTTCTGCACGACTTGACATAAAATATTATAGAGCACAGGCCGAGCCGAAGGCGAGGTAAACTACACATTCGTTGAAAACGAAATTTATTACCGTGTGCTCTATAATATTTTATGTCAAGTCGTGCAGAAGTCGAGTTTTGAGCAGGCTGCGCGAAGCGTAGCGTGCGATAAACTCGACTTATTGCACGGCGCGACATAATAGTATATTTCGTAACGAGTGCAAAAAAGTGTTTTTTGGCGAGTGGGGCGCGGTTTAGGGTTAGGCGGCGTGCTGAGTTGAATTTGGAGTGAGAATTTCCGTGGTTCCCGGTAGCTTAGTTGGAAGAGTGCCCGGCGCGTAACTGGGAGACCCGGGTTCGAATCCCGGCTGGGCGGATCGGAATTTTTTCTCTCTAAATTTTAATTCTATTTGAATTTATTTAATGCCTAAAGGTGGTTAGGCGGCGTGCTGAGTTGAATTTGGAGTGNATAATGCCTGGATTATAATGCCACATTCGCAAGATAATGCTTTTATCGCCGTGTGGCATACGATATTTTATATCGTTGGGCCCGAAAACCGCGATCATTGAATCGCGGTTTTTTCGGGCCTAACGACATAAAAATTTTTTCCAGCCTCGTAACGAAAGTAGCTATTCCGTGATGGAAATTACAAAAATCAAACAAAGGAGTCGTAATCTTCCCAGGTCGCAGAGGGAGTCGCTAGGGTAACAAGGGTGACACTGCCTTGGTTGAATGCGTTTTTCTGCGATTGTTGTTGCAATTTTTGCAGAAAAAAATTGAGTCAAAAAAATCTCCAACAAAAAATTATCATTAAAATTAATTTTTGTTTTTCTCAGGTTGCAAATATAATCATTGAATTCAAATATGGGAATGTGAGTGCATGAATTGGTGCCTCAAGTATAAGAAGCATTTCGAATATGTTCGTATCTTTAAAAATTATGACATTGAAATGTTCATCTCCCAAAAACTAATTGAGGGAATTTTTTCTTTATTTTTGTTAGTTTTCTGAGGAAAACTGATACGGAAAACATATGTCAAATAGCGGCGCCAAGGAATCGTGACCTTCCCTTCGCGTTCTCCCAACAGCAATTAAAAATCGATCCATTCTCCGATAATTCCACATTTGACAAAGAATCGACTCTAACTCTTTCCATCATCGACATGAGCCTGTTTACACCGGGAAGTTGAACACGAGTAGAGTTGAAGTAACTCGTCGGTGGAAACACAACGATGAGTTAGTCTCAGTGGAAACGAGACAGAAGTTGGCTGTTATTTCCCATGTAAAAGGAAATCCATCGAACTCCTTTGAGTTTATGTCAACGCTAACAACACATCAAGTTCGCACGGTGTAAATAGACTCATTCAATCTGCAGCCTTCCAAATCCTAATGCCTTCCTCTCTCACCGTGCGCTGTCCTACGCCCTGCCGGCAACACTCGGCAACACTGACAAGTATATCGGGGGGTCAGTGCACGTCACGCAATTATAATACCCTCCCGTAACATCTCTCTCACCCAAGATCAATCGTAAAATCCATAAAAAAGACTCTAAAACAATCACCGGCAATCGCCAAAATCCCAATGTCCATCATTGCCCCACCAGTGACTTGCCTGTGAACTCATTCCACAATAAAAATTAACTCTCCAAATTGTACGAGACAGGCTCCCGACAAGCCGGGGGGAGTTGTGGAGCGAGACGGAAGATTTTTTGTTGGGTGGAAAGAGAAAAGACAGAAATTGGAGGAGTGAACTGTGAGTGGTGAAAGAGTAAAAAAAGTTAACAGTGCGGCTGAGGACTGAACAGGGGGGAGTGAGTTGTTGGGGTGTTTGTGAAGTACAATTTCAATATTTATCGTCTTCATCGGCGACGTCCCCGTGGACGTGTCCCCCACGTCTACGTCACAAATACCTTCATCCCGACGAGTTTAACCATTTGAAAAATATTGTGCCCATTGTCACCCGACATACTGTGGTTTGTTGTGGCCCCCAGTGTCAACGATTGACTCCTCAAGGACTCGGGGAAATACATTAGCATTATTTCAGTTCAATGACAACAGTGATTTTGCCGTTGTAATTTAGTTAAAAAGGGTGAGACTGGAGTAATAGTAGTCAATCGTCAGGTTATGTCAGCTGGATTGGCAGGTGCTGTGCCAGATCAGGTTAGTTTTGACACTGTTGACGCCCTGGGTACCGTATCATCGGCGTCATACGAATACAGGAACATCCATATAAAGATTTATCTGTTTTTGCATGCTACGGAATGCAGCGGATGAAAGGACAGGCCAACAGTCAGGGTGAGTGAACTTTATACTCCAAAATCATACCCTCCACGAGACGAGATGTGAGGATGCTTGGGGGCACATCTCAGGGAAGAACTCCTGGGGGAGTATTTCTGAATATCTCAGTGGAAAGTCGAGATCATTTCCAGTGGAATAGTCAGAAACTGTCGATTTTGTTCTGATAGTTATGGAGATGTTGAAGATTTCAGTCCTGAGATAAAAGTCACTTCGAGTCTGTTAGTTCTACTGTTAACCCTGAAATTCTGTCTTCATTGAAAACTTCAACATGATAGAGTAGATTACTTATCGTTAGTGGATTCTTTTTGTTGGAGTCTTCTGTCGATTTGTTCTCCTAAAATGTGTGTTTGTTAATAGTTGATGAATAGCCTCACGTTCAGCTCTACAGAATGTTGGGAAGTTATTGACAATTATTCAGTTGTTCATAAGCATTGTTGATGGTGAACAAATCCTTCTATCAATATTGAAGCCATTCTCAAATAAGTAATGAATCCTACTCACTTATCTTCATTAGGGAAGGGTAAGGTAAAATGGACACTTTTGACTTTTCTAAAAAGATTTATAACTCAGAAACAGATTTATCAATTGAGCTCAGTCTAAGCTCATCACAAAGAGGAATCATTATTTTTCAATTGAAAAATAAAATTATTCCATTTCATGAACAATTCAATACGTCATAAATATTTTTAAAAAAAGTCAAGTGTTCGTTTTACCCTACCCTCCCCTATAGTTGTGTAAAATCTCAGTGGAAAGTCGAGATCATGTCCAGTGGAATAGTCAGAAACTGTCGATTTTGTTCTGATAGTTATGGAGATGTTGAAGATTTCAGTCCTGAGATAAAAGTCACTTCGAGTCTTTTAGTTCTACTGTTAACCTTAAAAAATTTTGTCTTCATTGAAAACTTCAACATGATAGAGTAGATTATTTATCGTTAGTGGATTCTTTTTGTTGGAGTTTTCTGTCGATTTGTTCTCCTAAAATGTGCGTTTGTTAATAGTTGATGAATAGCCTCACGTTCACCTCTACTGAATGTTGGGAAGTTATTGACAATTATTCAGTTGTTCATAAGCATTGTTGATGGTGAACAAATCCTTCTATCAATATTGAAGCCATTCTAAAATAAGTTATGAATCCCACTCACTTATCTCCATTACGGTTGTGATTTTACTCCAATAACTCTTGAGATATGCAAACTTTCATCTTTTGTTATAACAACTCTATCGTGAAGTGATACAACGTAAGAGGCCAGTTTTAAAATTTATGCCAGTTTTCCATCGATTGATGAAAATAGCAAGAGACCTTTTCTGCAGTTAAAAAAATTCCTTACAAAAAATGTCGCTTTTCGTAAAGCATTTTTTCTACCAAATTACTCATTATCGAATGAATTTTGTCTTGATGAGATGTGGAAAATCAACTTGAAAGGTTTTATCCTTTCACTATTAAGTTCAACTTTATTTTTATTTACTATAATTTTTTTTTCAATAATGATTGTAATTTTGGCGAATTTTCTATAAAAACTCCATTGAAAACCTGTCGATTTTGCTCTGGCAATAGTTTAGACATAAAAAATTTTACTTATTCTTTCTGAATTACTCTTTCGCATTCTTCGATTGCTCAAAGTTACGATTATAATGTTGTTCTTACACACCTTTTCACTGTTAAATTCAACTTTTTAAAAATTTATTATATAGTTTTTTTAATAATAATTGTAATTTTGGCTAATTTTCTATAAAAACTCCATTGAAAACTCGTCGATTTTGCTCTGGCAATAGTTTAGACATAAAAAATTTTACTTATTCTTTCTAAATTACTCTTTCGTATTCTTCGATTGTTCAAAGTTACGATTATAATGTTGTTCTTACACACCCTTTCACTGTCAAATTCACCTTCATTTTTATTTATTATATATTCTTTGTAATAATGGTTGTAGTTTTGGCTAATTTCTTATAAAAACTCCATTGAAAACTCGTCGATTTTGCTCTGGCAATAGTTTAGACAAAAAATTTTACTTATTCTTTCTGAATTACTCTTTCGCATTCTTCGATTGTTCAAAGTTACGATTATAATGTTGTTCTTACACACCCTTTCACTGTCAAATTCACCTTCATTTTTATTTATTATATATTTTTTGTAATAATGATTGTAGTTTTGGCTAATTTTCTATAAAAACACCATTGAAAACCCGTCGATTTTGCTTTGACAATAGTTTAAATAGAAAATTTGACTTATTCTTTCTAGATTACTCTTTCACATTCTCCGTTTGCTCAAAGTTACGATTGTTTTTTTTTTACAGCGAGCAATGGTCCCAAGGAACATCAGGCACAACAGCAACAGGGAGGTGATCATGCTGGGGACGATTCGTCATTTGATTCATGGAGAGGAGGGAATAATACACAGCACCACTCCAACTACCCCATTGGGACTGGCGAGCCATACCCTTACTATGCCGGTACGTCGTTTCAATACCAGACATTTGGTGCTGGCGATGGCACGTGGTCAAATGGCACTGAATCAGTAGCCTTTCTCTCTGGTTACGGTGGCCAAATGGGCCACGACGCTTATGGTATGGATCAGATGTTCTCCACTGGTGCTGGAGGCGGATTCGGGGGCTTTGGACAGCCTGCATTTACTAATTATTTTCCAGGTAATAATACCTTCTTTGAAAAAATTGGTATACTGAGAGAAAAATAGCAGAGTTCTCAGTCAAGTCCTACTGGTGCCAAAAAAATCGTTTATTAAAAATTATCAACGAAGGATTTTTTTGTGCCAAACATATGACGCGTGCGCTGAGATTGAACATTTTTATTGCAAATAGATTTAGTCTTTTCAACAAAAATTCATTCTCTGTGCAAGCAAGAAATGTAATTTCTAGCACTACTTCTTCGTTATTCGATGCTCCCATACGTATTCTGCTCTTGGTAAATGCTCGTTTTATATGAAACGAGGGATAGTAGTTCGTTCACTGAGAAAAAGTTATTTTTTCCAAATATCGATTTACTTGATAGAAGTATTAATTTTTTCAATCCCGTATTTCTCCGGTCCAGTCATTCCTAGGCAATCGTCATTAGATTTCAACTATGGCAATTACATTGCTCTAGAAGATGATAATGTTAGTTATGGCCTTGAGTGAACTCCCTCAATTATTATCAATATTAAAAAATTAATAAAAATTCTTTCCTCTAGAAAATAAGAAATTTAGGAAAAATGAATAATCATTGGAGGAGATCCTCCAAGGTCATTGCAACATAGTCATCCTCTACAGCAATATAATTGTCATAATTGGAACCCAATTAGGCTCGCCTGGGAACGACTCGATTGGAGAAATACGATTTTGAAAACAAATACTTCTCTCAAGTAAATCAATATTTGGCAAAACTAATTTTTTTTCTCTGTGGATCGTTTCGGCTATTCAATAATCACAGACAAAAAAATGAATTCTTAAATGAAATAATAATAATGATATGACAGCAATGTTGTAATTTAGGGACAAAATATTTCTTGATAAACTTCCCTCTATAGAAGATATTTTTATCCTGAATAGGCATCGTCTTTTATGAATGATCCGCCTCTTGAGATGAATATTTCGTTGTTGTTGAAAGCAGAGGAATTATTCATGTTTGACACTTTCAGGTTCGAACAAAACAATTATTTTTTTCGTAATTTTTAACTGACAATTTTGTGGGCTCAAACAAGACTCGTTTGAGAACTTGTTCATTTTACTCTGAGTGTAGAGCTCTACTTACAACTGTTGAAGTTCAGTGGTCTCGCACTTTACACTGAGAGAAATGAAAAACATGTTTCATTTCTGTTGGTAATTATCAACTTACGATTCTTCAAGTTCAAACAACAGAGTATTTTTTTCTGTCAGTGTATTTTATACAAAATATAATTCTTTCGTAGATAATTGAATAGACTGCAAAAGAAATCTCCGGATATCCTCCAATAAACATATTATGCGGAATATCTGTCAAGATATCATATAAAATCTGTATATCCATTGAATTTTGCTATTGTGGTATAGACTTAACGATAGGAAATCGAGGAATTCGTATTCATTTAATCAACTCCCCAATTTTAACTTCTCCTGGAACTAATAATTATAACTGCCTCAAATTTACTGAATCCTTCGTTCGCCATTGAAAAATTGAAGAATAATTTTCATTGATATACCTCTCAGTTTTTAATCATTCAATTCCTCAATCGACGATGCATAGGGCATTGATGTCGCATTTGATGAAACCATCAGAAAGCTCACATTCAGGGAAATTCATGAAAAATTCAAAATTTTCAGCAATCATCATAAAAATCAAATCAACCAACACAGCTATCGTAATCATCTTTTACCTTCGACTTAATGACATTGAAACAAACATTTGAGGCATGATATTCAAAGATATCCCCGGAATTCTCATTTTCAAAAAATATAAAATTTTTGCAAACTTTCAAATAAATAACGGTTATTGCTATCACCGTCCTCTTTGAACTCGGTCAAAAGGACATCCAAACAACTCTTTAAGCCATCATTCAATCAATTCAGAACATTTTTTTTCGTTGTCTTGAGACGACTGATTTTCGAGAAAATTCGAAAATTAAAAAACTAATCGATGAATTGAAATTTAATTAATGGCGATTGATAGGGCTATACACACACGTACAGGCGAGGTCTAAAAATTGTCTTTTCGGACTTTTTGGAGCATACTGGGTTGACATAACACAAAAAATCCAGAACTTGAATTTGAACGATTACAATGCTTCCATTCGGAAACAAAAAAAAAACGAAATTCGCTATGTAGGAGTCGAATGTGAAAAAACTAGCTCGTAATTGTTATTGTACACATTTTGGGGCAGCGAATAATAAACAATTACTTTTTTGCCCTAATTATTCGTTTTTAGACATATATAATCGATCTCCAAAGTATGAAAAATCGCACTCCAATAGCCCGCGACTTTAAAAACTGATAGTAGTCTCCCCTTAATTGTAGCAATTTATTCGGGTATTTTGAAAGTTACTTTATGACACGCCGATACGAATGATAATATTCCTGCACATTTAATTCCTTAAATTTCCGTTTGACCCAGGAAATGGTGATTTCAACGCATGGGGCACAACCCCCCGCAAGGCTCGTTACGAGGACTACTACCCCCAGCCCCGTAACCAAGACGGCACGTACCCAGCCAACGATATGAAGAACCTGGAGCAAACAGTCCAGGGTTTATCCCTCGGTGAACTCCCGCGTCATGACCAGAGTATGTCTTCCACCCAATCCTCGAAAGCCGAGCCCAAGGAGCAGCGCAAAATCACTTGGGCAAGTGTAGCCAGTCAGCCAGCCAAGCCAGTGCCCCCAGTCTCCGCGAATCCTGGCATGAAGAAGAAAGCAGGTATGCCACCGCCGCCAATAGTCCCTGGCAAACACAACATGGACATTGGCACCTGGGGTGAGGGTAAATCATCAGCCCCGCCGCCCCCCAAAGCTCCCCTCCCACCGCAAATTCAGCTGCCAGTGGCTGCCCCAGCTCCGCCGATCCAGAGACAACGACCAACCCCTCCACCGAGCTGGAAGCACCCAGGATCCCCCTCAACACCTCCAACAAACGTTGGACCCTCTCAATCTATCCCCCCGCCTGCCCAGAGTTCTCACCACCAAGGAGGATCCCCTCAGCAGCAACAGCAACAGCAGCCGCCACCCCAGCAGCAAGTGGTGCAGAATCCTCCAACACATCGTCCACCTCATCAGGGCGGGCATCCAGGACATCAAGGGCATCAAGGAGGCCATCAGGGCCATCAGGGACACCAGCCCCACCAATCTCACGGGCATCACCAGTCCCCGAGCCAGCCACAAAATCAGAATCAAAACCAGAATCACCATAATCAGAGCCAGAATCAGCACCAACACCAGCACTCAACTTCCACTCAGCACCAGCCTCAATCCCACCAATCCAATCAGTACTCGTCTCAACAAGTGACAGCAGTCAACATTTCTCATCCAGTTCTAGATGAATTGAAAGTTAAAAATGATTACAATCCCATCGAGTTTGACCAGACAGCACCTGGTGCTAAATTTTTCGTCATTAAATCTTACTCTGAGGATGACATTCACAGATCAATAAAGTATGAGATCTGGTGCAGCACTGAGCATGGAAATAAGAGGCTTGATCAAGCGTACAGAGATGCTGTGAGGGAGGGTGCACCTCTCTATTTGTTCTTCTCGGTTAATGGCTCGGGGCATTTCTGTGGAATGGCACAGATGGTTTCCTCGGTTGATTACCAGAGTAACAGTTCGGTTTGGTCCCAGGATAAGTGGAAGGGACAGTTTAGGGTGCGCTGGATATACGTCAAGGATGTGCCCAATGTGCAATTGAGGCACATTCGGTTAGAGAATAATGAAAATAAGCCAGTTACAAACTCTAGAGATGCTCAGGAGGTGCCCCATGCCAGGGGGGTTCAAGTATTACGGATTCTTCATTCTTACCCTCATTCAACGAGTATTTTCGATGATTTTGGGCATTATGAGAGGAGGCAGGCAGAGGAGGATCAGAGAAAAGTGCCTGTGATGGGGATGCATCATCAGGCGCATTCACCTCCACCCATGGGAGGGCACAGGGGGAGAGTCCATGGAGAGATGGGCAGACATCCGCCGCACCATCAGGGACATCCAAGTCATCAGGGACATCAGCCACATCAGCCTCATCGTCGAGTAAGTATTTTTGTCGCTTCTTTTATTCATGTTTTGACCGGGGGAGGTGCTCCAACTATTAAATGGTGAAACAATATGAATATTAATTTACAGCTCTAGTCTTACTGATGAGATTTTTTATCTAATGGAAAGCAATCTATTTTTTTGTTTATCTCGTTTAAACAAAGCGTCGCCGTATGGCCAAAGGGACATAGTAAGTAGAGATGTGGAATGATTTATTTTCCATTTCGGTCAGGTCAGACGTAAATGACCGCTTTCTGGCCGTTCAGTAACCCTCACTGAATTTTATTTGCAAAATTACCGTGACAGTTAAGCTGTGTCAGACATGAGCCAAAATGACCAAAAATTGCCTATGTAGTTGCAAATTGTTCAGCCGGAAACTTTTTCATAGAATTGAATTATCTTTTATTCTTTTATTTATTAATTATTATTAATGGGCCCATCCTAAATGATACTGTTTAAAAAAATGACATTTCAGTTTAATGAATGTAATTTAAGGGGAGAGAAAATCATCAACTTTCAGATTTCACTGAAAATTCAATAAAATATCAAAATGTTGAGAAGCATAAAGACGAGATTTCTTCAGTTTATTTGAATTTTCAATGAAAACATGAATATACAGTGTTAAATTACCCTGAATTTTCAATTAATTCAAAATTGAAGAATATATTTATAGGAATTTTCCGGTTTTCTATTAATTTTTAAAGAATAATTGAACTAAAATTTACAGTTCTCATCGATTTTTCCCCGATATTGACAATTTTCAATGACGGAATTCCTTGAAATGTGTGGAACTTAAATGTGATACAAATTTCGGAAAAGTCTACTGGAAATTTCAGCTAAAATTTTTCAATAGTGTAGAAATCGCTGGACTAGTACTCGAAAATTGAGGGTCATCTTTAATAAAAATTCTTTATAGACGGAAATTGAAAGTCAAAATTTATTTGGTCATTTCATGCTTATGGTCAATCGTCATTTTTTTCTGACCATATGGTCACATTCTCGGCGCGGTAATTTTTATTGCAAAAATAGATTTAGTCTTTTCAAAAAAAAAATTATTCTGTTTGTCTTCTTCGTTATTCGATGGTCCCATACATATTTTGCTTCCGGCAAATGCTCGTTCTATATAAAGCGAGGTATAGTAGTTTATTGTTACGGCTATTCAATAATCACAGACAGAAAATGAATTGTCAAGTGAAATAATAATAATTATAAGACAGGAATCTTGTAACTCAGGGACAAAATATTTCTTGATAAAATTCCCTCTATAAAAGATATTTTTATCCTGAAAAGGCACCGTCTTGTATCAATAATTCGCCTCTTGAGCCAAATATTTCGTTGTTTTTGGAAGCAAAACAATTATTCATGCCTGAGACCTTCAAATTCGAACCAGACAATAATTTTTTTTGTAATTTTCAACTAACAAATTTGTTGCCCCAAACCAGACTTGTTTGAGAACTTGTTCGTTTGTCTCTCAGTGTACGCCCCTTTGACTATATGACAACGAAATTATTTTCTGATACACTCCAATAATAATATAATTATGCAAACTTACATTAAAAATAGTTTCCCTAGCCAAAAATTGTGGCTGTGTGACTGGCGCAAGGCTGGCCAGCGGTAACCGTGGGTTCAAAGCCACCACTGGGCGCCAAAATTTTGTAACGCTCTAATTCTCAGCATAGAGTTGGGGGTGGGAAGGGAAAAAATGGAAAAAATCCGAAAGGGTATATGAGAGATAAAAATAGAAAATTGAAATAGTCTCCTTCCTTCATGTTCCAGGAACGTGATGGTGGTCGTGGCAGAGGACGAGGAATGCCACGTCAGTAGCAATGGTTAACCCACTGCATCAATAATACTGTTAATAATGAAAAAATGAGATAAACAGCTATGAACAAGGTGGAGAGGATAAAGAGGACCTATTACTTATTTACCCAAGGAAAAAAAAAAGTAAACTCTGCATGTGTGAGCACATCATTTTTTGCCGGACAAAGAAGCAAACAAAAACAAATAGGACTTTGATAAAAAAAAAAGAAAAATAACGAAGAGGACGGGCGGATGGGATACAACTAAAGAAAAAATAACTCAGCAATGAAGACAAATGATGAAAAAATTCAGCTTAAAATTATTTTTCTCAGTATGCAAAAACTGTTTGTTCAATTGATACAAATAATTATTGATTGAGTGAAGAAGAAAAAATAATAATCGCCACCCAGTGGACAATTGAAAATTCAGTGCCTGCGGCCTCACAATGGGGAGGGGAAACAATTATGAAAAAGAAGAACAGCAAGAAGAAGTAATTTCGAATGAGAAATGAAATTTTTATGTTATCATGTGTAATTGAAATGATACGAATGCAAAGCAAGATTAAGCAAACAGAAGGAATGAATTCAATAATTTCTGTCAATCTTTTTTTTCTTTTGAAAAAAATCTCATTTTTTTTCGTCAATTTTTTTAACTGTCTATACTCATAAAGACACAATGAAAATGAATAAAAATTATTACAATTATGCGAATGAAAGAACGTGGAAGATAATATTAAATAGATTGTGATGTATAATGGAAGGATGTAGAAAAAATGAAAGAAAGAAAAAGAAAAAATGAACGAACATTATCATTAACTCATTGAACAATGATATCTTTAATGATATACTCCGTTCTTATTGTTATATTATGTATTCAGTCTCTACTCCCTTATTTTTTTTCTTAGCCAATTATAGGTGATTAATTCTCAGCACCTACTTTAATGAATAACTGGTAAGAGAATACGGGTAAGATGGTACATTAGGGTACAAGAGTACGAATTTCGTTTTCGACGAATGCGAAGTTTACAGGTAGAGCCGAAGGCGAGGTCTGTGCTTACATTCTTTGAAAACGAAGTTCATGCCCGAGTGGTCTATTGGTATATTTCGATGCGAGTGCGGCGGAATTTTCACGAGTATGAAGTTGGCGACCCGAGACGAGGCCGAGGGCAGCCAATCACACGAGCTGAAAATTCCCGTCTCACATGTGTCGAGCAATATTTTTTGACAGTGATGTTACGTTCAGCGAGTGACCGAATTGTGCCTTTTTCGTTTACAAATAAACGAAAAGACTTTTCACTTACTTTTAAAAACGAAAAGATTGTTTATTTACTTTTCGTTTACCAGTAAACGAAAAGGCACTTTTCGGCACGAGGTGAATGTAGCAGCAGTGTCAAAATAGTATATTTCAGCACGTGTGGGGCAATTTCGTCTTTAACGTGTGTGGGGTTTACAGCATGAGCCGAAGGCGAGTGATGTAACCACACACGTTAAGGACGAAATTTCCCAACAAGTACTGAACAAAATTTTATGTCACGAAGCCTGAAACCGGCTGAATTAGACACGAGACGCGAAGCGTCGAGTGT